GACAACATCTTTCTTGTTGTAAATGATTTGAGTATATTGCGTGAGACTAAAGATTTTCTCTCAAATTTTTTTGAAATGAAAGATATGAGAAATGCGTCATATGTGATTGGAACAGAAATATTCCATGATCGATCACAAGGATTGTTTGGACTATCTCAGAAAGGATATATTGAGAAAATTCTAGAGAGATTTAATATGAGTAAATGCTCACCTGGAGTTGTTCCTATACAGAAAAGTGATAAATTTAGTCTCATGCAATGTCCAAAGAATGATCTTGAACAGAAAGAAATGGAATCAATTCCATATGCCTATGTTGTGGGCAGCTTAATGTATGCTTAAATCTGTACTCGGCCAGATATCAGTTTTGCGGTTGGGATGTTGGGCAGATATCAAAGTAATCTAGGAATGGAACATTGGAAAGCTGCAAAGAAATTTTTAAGATAACTTCAAGGCACGAAGGATCACATGCTCATGTACAAAAGGTCCAATGAATTAGAAGTAATTGGATATACTGATTCAGATTTTGGTGGATGTCTTAATAGTAGAAATTCAACCTTTGGCTACTTGTTTATGTTTGCCCAAGGAGCCATATAATGGAAAAGTGCAAAACATACTATCGTTTCTTCATCCACTATAGAGGCAGAATTTGTGGCATGTTTTGAAGCCAAAACTCATGCATTATGGCTGCAGAACTTTATTTCAGGGCTTACGGTTGTCGACACCATTAGCAGGCCACTAAAAATTTACTGTGATAATTCTATAGCAGTATTCTTCTCTAAGAACGAGAGATACTCTAAAGGTGCCAAACATATAGAGTTAAAGTATTTTTCTGTTAAAGAGGAGGTTCAGAAACAGAGAGTGTCAATTATGCACATCAGAACCGAACACATGATGGCAAACCCTTTGACGAAAGGGTTACAACCAAAGCTATTTAAAGAACATGTTAAAAGTTTGGGCCTTGCTTGTATTAAAGATTATTGATGTATGACACTTTGAGCTCACCTATGTGTTTCTGACATACTTTATGTTTTCTTGTTATTTTATGGTCGTATACACATTATGAATTTTGACAAGGAAGTCTCTGTAAGACATTATGTAGACCATTATGTTTCCTATATTATGAATTTTATATGATGGATTGTTGGTGTTGTAATATATGGAAGGGAATGTACTGAATTAATAGCACACTACCGCCATAACTCACACTTGACAATTTATCTTTCATGATGACTAACATTAGAGATGAACATGTATATTATGATTAATCGGGCCAAGTGGGAGAATGTTAGAATATTAAGAGTCAATTATAATATTAAAAGGATTTTATTATAATTATAATATTAAGACTCTTGATATTACCCATTAAACGTTATATGGCCCAATTAATTACTGATGCATTTAATCTCAATCAATGATTTGGTATCTGATGGACGTACCAGAGTATAAGTTATGGAATATATATATATTAGGGATTGTCTCTCTCCCCTTCAACCTCAATGTCATTCTCTCCATCATAATACATATCAAAGTAAAGAAGGCTCAGAGAGAGAAACTACCTCAACACAATTGCTCACAAGATGATGACTGTTGTTAATCCTTCATCATCGTTTTCGGGTATGTCTTTATCTCTTATGTGTATGTGAAAATCATGTATTTCCAAAATCCTTTATCATGTTCTTATTTTATGATTTATGAATATGATATATTATGCAAACTAACAAAAGGTTCATAGAAAAATGCTTACCCCACCAACAATGTTGAGAGATTGAACAACACATGTAGTTTGGTCTTTAGCTGAAAATCTGGAATATGTTTGGTCGCTTTACACTAAAGAGCAAATCCTTTTTTCCTCTATCCTTTCATCCCAAAAACTTGTCAACTATTTATATGAAGATTAGTCAACTATTATGGGAACACCTAATGCAGTCTGCCTTGTTGTGGCAAGGCACTTTGCAACTGCTCATGTGCTGATAGTCACTGTTGTGTTGGAGGGGTATCAGGGGGGATCCCGAATTTGGCCATTTCGGTGCCTGCGGGGCAAAAGGAATAGGTTGCATCCCAACGTAAGATATTCTGGTGTCTTACGTTGGGGAATCTTGCTACAGGGAGAAGGGATAGTAGCAATGGTAGGGCTGAGGTGGCAAGTGACTTTGACTTTGGGAGGTAGAAACTGAACTCGTACTTTTTTATTTTGGGAGTTTCTGTCCTAAAATAAAAAAGTAGGATCTTGTAAATAATATTGTCAAGTTTGATAATTCATAGTCACGAGTTTCTGTACGTCTACTCCTGTCAAAAATAATATTGTATTCAATTTGTTTGATAAAATGTGATAAAATCTTGCTACATTTTTGTTTAGTTAAGCTTCATGAAAATGAACTCGTATTTTTTTATTTTTGGAGGTAGAAACTAACTAAATTTTGTCTTTGATGTTTCAAATTTGAACTGATTGGGATACATTCTTGTAAATGATAGAATGCATATCCTTCCCTGTTACAATTATCTATTTCAATACAAAATTACAAACCATAAATAATTCATAACTGTATATTTTCTATGTTCTTTGTAGTGATTATTATGGGGAAAAGTGCTACTATTGATGCTTATTTTAAGAGAAAGAATAGTGAGTCTTTGTCCTCATCTACTTATAATGTTGAATTGTCAATTATTGAGACTTCTTCTTCAAAGTCTCCTAGAATTGAAAATAAAGAGGTGGTTAAAGAAGATGATCTTGCTTCATTGGAAAGAGATCCTGGACTACGCCCTCCAATATGGAAATTTCCTATAAATCAACAAGATGACATCCGTCGTGCGTATCTTAAACTTGTTGGTCCATTTCAGTGCAAGATTCAAAATTGTCCTTTCTTTGGGCTAGAGAAGAATCAAGTCATTTTTGCTCTTCCTGGTTTGATTTGTTTCCATCTTGGTTAGAGTATTCTCCCACTAAAGATGCTTTGTTTGCCTTGTTATTTATTTAGTAAATCAGGTGGAAATGGTCGCTTTGGACTTAGTACATTTGTTGTTGAGGGACTCAGAAATTGGAAAAAGGTTAATGATGGAGAAAATTGTGTTTTTCTGTGCCATGTCAGAAAAATATTATCTCAATGCATAAAAATGTTGTGAGATCATATAGTGACCTTATGAACTAATCTCAACATATTGAGATATTGGTTGAAAGACTTACTTATCAGCATATTGCAGGTAATCGTTTGAGACTACAAGTTTCTGTGGACGTGACAAGATGGCTTGCTTTGCAAAGATGTGCTTTTAGAGGTCATGATGAAAACTTAGATTCATTTAATCGGGGTAATTTCCTGGAGATGATTAAGTTTTTAGCTTCCTATAATCAAGAAGTTGCATCAGTTATTTTAGAAAAAGCTTCTCATAATGCTTCATATAGTTCCCCTCTAATTCAAAAGGAAATTCTTCATGTTTTCTCTCAAAAGGTAAATGACACAATACAAGAAGAAATCTCCAATGCCAAATTTTTTCTTATTGTTGATGAAGCTAGTGATGTATGAAAAAAAGAGCATATGACTATTGTTTTGAGATTCGTAGATAAAGATGATTTTATACGGGAAAGATTTCTCGGTCTTGTACATGTGAAAGATACAAGTGCTAAGACTCTGAAACAAGGATTATGCAACTCTCTTCGTCACCATAATCTTGATGTTCCAAATATTCGTGGACAAGACTATGATATAGCTAGCAATATGCAAGGTGAATGGAATGGATTGCAGGCTTTAATTTGCGCTGAGTGTCCATATGCTTATTATGTTCATTGCTTAGCTTATTGTCTTCAACTTGTCTTGGTTGTTACATCTCATAAGGTAAAACATGTTCATCAATTTTTTGAAAAATTGAACTTCATAATTAAAATTGTTACTTCTTCTTGTAAGCATAATGATGAGTTAAGGGTTGCCCAAACAAAGGAAATTGTAAGAATGATTGCTATTGATGAACTCGAATCAGGAGCTAGTCTTAATCAGATTGGTACTTTGCATCGAGCTGGAGCTACTTGTTGGAGTTATCATTACAATTCGATATGCAGTTTGTTTCAAATGTTTAAAGCCACATGTGAAGTTCTTGACAATATTTCTAATGAAGGAAAGACAACATCACATCGTGGAGATGCAGATAATGCATGCTTATCATTGACACCTTTTGATTTTGTCATCATATTGCACCTTATGAAGGAAATTATGGATAGTACTGAAGTCCTTTGTCAAGCTTTGCAACTAAAGTCTCAAGATATTTCAAATGTTTTACATCTGGTTTCAACTACAAAAGAGTTACTTTAGAAACTAAGAGAGTCGAGTTGGGATGCTTTTTTGGTTCATGTTCAAGAATTTTGCAGAAAACATGACATTGACATTCCAGATATGAATGCAAAATATATTGGAAGGAGAGGTTGTGCTCGAAATGAACAAGATAATTTTTCTACTGAGAAATTTTATAGGGTAAATATCTTTTGTGCTACAATTGATTATCAATTGCAAGAATTAAATAGCAGATTCAATGATAATACTGTTGAATTACTTACTTTGAGCATGACTTTAGATCCAAGAAACATGTATAAGTCATTTAACAGTGATGATATTTACAAACTTGTTGATAAATTTTATTCTAGAGATTTCACAGAACATGAAAAATTGCATTTGAAGATGGAGTTATAACATTGTGAGCTTGACATTCCCAAAAATCTAGATTTGACTAATTTATCAACTACATCTAAATTATGTCAAGAGCTAGCAAAAATTGAAAAGTCTATCATTTACTCTCTTATTCTTATCAACAGAGTTATTAGACTTGTACTCACTCTTCCAGTTTTTAGTTTTAGCACGAATTCAATTATATATGAGTTTAAGCAATGTCAAGTGAAGTGATATTAATTTCAGTAATAAATTTCTTTTAATTTTTTGTATATTAGGTCTACTTTTATTTATGATATAATATTTTTTATTTTCGTCCTACTCGTGTTAAAATTCATGCGTCCGCAGCTACCTACACCAAGGAGATCTTGGGCGCTCGGTCTTGATATCTGAAGAAACTTTGTGTCCCTACCCACCATAACGTTTGGCAGAGAAATGTTCATGCAGATAGAGAGAGAGAGAGAGAAAAAATGACGACTTCTTGATTTCTGAAGAAACTTTGTGTCTTCATGAGATATGGTTTCAAAGTTGCAGTGCAGCTCATGAAAAAACTCTCTCTATCTTTCTCTGTGTGTAACTTATAAGTAGGATCTAAGAGCAAAAATGAAGAGAGAACGCGAGAATGCTTCTCTACAGTCTCCGTTGATTGAAGATGGATTCTTAGTTGACGTAAAGCAAAACAAATCATCAGGGGGAATAGAAAGAAGGGAAATTGTTGAAGAAGTGAAGAAGCTGTTATGGCTTGCAGGGCCTATGGTATCTGTGACCCTTTTAAATTTTTCTCTACAAGTTATATCTGTCATGTTTGTGGGGCATCTTGGCAACTTGCCTCTCTCCGGTGCTTCTATGGCCACTTCTTTTGCCTCTGTCACAGGTTTCAGTTTATTGGTCAGTTCTTATCTTTGATATCTTCTAATAATACCCTTATATTGGATTCCGAGTTTTGTGTTGGTTGGTTGTAGAAAGTACAGTTCTTTGTCAATGGCAAACCAAGAAAATTTTGAAATGGGACGAAATTGTAATGTCTAATCTTTCAGCAAGTTACAATTATTTATGGAAAAAAAAAATCTTATATTGTAGGAGAATTCTAATCTCATATCTACATCAAGTGTGAGTCCCATTTATTTAAAAACAAAAAACAAAAAACAAAAAAAATGAGAGGAACACTTTTTTATGGTGTGGGTAGGAAGAGTTTGTTTTCTCATGTAATATGAGAAAAACAAATCCCTTTATTTATATCATAAGAAAATGGGAAAACATTTTCTCATCATAGGAGAGTTGTTCTCTCCTACTAGTGACCCTTCGATTTTCGTGCAATATTTTCTTTTGTTTTTTATATTTTTTTAATAGATGTGGGTCCCATATAAGATGTGTCTACAACATGAGAAAATTTTCTCTTACCAAATGAAAAAATCAAAACCCTAAAAAAATATAGAGATGGTAGTCAAAACAAAAGTCTTATTTGAGCTTGGGGAGATCAATCTCTATACAATAAAAAAAGATACGTTATTCTACCTATCTTTTTTTATACCTATTATACCTACACTCTCTAACACCGTTAGATTATAATTTAAGAAAAGAGAGAAATAATAAAGGTTAATTGAGATTTTGATCTAATGATGTTGGAGAATGATAGGTAAGGTATGCATGAAAAAAAAAGGTAGGTAGAATAATTTATCCAAATTAAAAAAAGATAAAGTTTCGAGATTAAAAAAATGTATGAACTTCAGTATCGCCCACCCTGCTCTCCTTGCTCCACCACTGCCCTCTGTACTTCTTGTTGAGCCGATAAGGTAGCTCACGGTAGGGAGAGACCATTAACTATGAACTAAATGAGTAACGATATTAACTGGACTTAGACGCTATAATCAAACTCAAATCTTAAGGTATTAAATATATGAGTTTTTCTACTTATATAATGCTCACTCAATCTATTATTATTAACAGATGTGACATTTCAGTCACTCATGCTTAAATTTCTTATAGTACTATTCACTTGCTCGCTTTTGTAAATCCTAAATTGTGTGAATTTGGAATCATCACTGAGGTTAGATATAGGACATAAAGTCAGTCAATACGATTAGTTCAAATTGTTACCTGTTGCCTATGGTTTATATCACAAACTTATCTTTTCAAGGAAATAGTTGATAAGGAAGCTGGCAATGGATAATGGAGAGTACTCTGAGCTATTCTCATTGGTATTATTATTTTTGGTTGAAACAGGTAGGAATGGCAAGTGCCTTGGACACCTTATGTGGACAGTCATATGGAGCAAAGCAGCACAGAATGTTAGGGATACACATGCAGAGAGCAATGTTCATTCTTATGATTGTTAGCATTCCTCTTGCTGTTATATGGACTAACACAAGGTCCATTCTGATCTTCCTTGGCCAAGATCCTGAAATATCTGCTGAAGCTGGCAAATATGCTCAGTTAATGGTTCCAAGCCTTTTTGCCTATGGTCTTCTCCAGTGTCTCAACAGATTCTTGCAAGCCCAAAATAATGTGTTTCCAATGATGTTCAGCTCTGGAGTCACTACTTCACTACATTTTCTTATATGTTGGCTTATGGTATACAAATCTGGACTAGGAAGCAGAGGAGCTGCCATAGCAAATGCTATATCTTACTGGTTAAATGTTTCCATACTCTCACTCTATGTCAAGTTTTCTCCTTCTTGTGCAAAAACTTGGACAGGTTTTTCCATAGAGGCATTGCACAACATCCCTTCATTTCTGAGGCTTGCCATTCCTTCAGCTGTTATGGTTTGGTAATTACAACATATCCATGTTTACTGTGTTGTGTTGCTTGTCTTAACAATACACATTGAATTCTTTTTTGATGTTTTCTATTTTTATTATCGTTATAATGGTGAACAGCTTGGAAATGTGGTCATTTGAAATGATGGTTCTCCTTTCGGGTCTTCTTCCAAATCCAAAGTTGGAAACATCTGTGCTGTCTATCTGGTTTGGATATTTATTGATATGCTTTGCAAAATTGTTATTATACTTAATTAATCAACATTATTATTATATTTTCATCAACTTATCGTCAATGACTTGTTTTTTTAAGCTTGAATACCACAGCACTTGTTTGGATGATCCCCTTTGGACTCAGTGGAGCTGTAAGGTTAGTATTTCTTATAAAGTTTCAGAATTAATTGGTAATCTAACCGTTTTACTTTAAGCACACATGTATCAAACGTTCTGTTTTCTTCCTAATTTGCTCTTTAGTATGTATATAGCTGCATTATTGCTTGCATGATTCTTGCAGCACTCGTGTATCAAATGAACTTGGAGCTGGTCATCCACATGCTGCTCGTTTAGCAGTGCGTGTTGTCTTCGTAATTGCCATAATTGAAGGCATCTTAGTTGGAACTGTGACAATATTAATACGCAATATTTGGGGCTATGCGTATAGTAATGAAGTAGAAGTGGTCAAATATGTGGCAACTATGTTGCCAATTCTTGCAACATCCAACTTTCTGGATGGACTCCAATGTGTTCTTTCAGGTTTTTCCTATTTCCCATTTCTTTCATTTATGATCTACATTGGAGCTATAACTCAAAAGCAATGATAGAGACAAATTTGGATATGGAAACTTCCAATATATCATAACGTATCACTATATGTGAATGGCATATTGCATAAATATGTGAATGGCATACTGACAAGTGACAAATGAGACTTAAACAGGGCTAGCTTGTTTTGTAGCCATTCTTCTTTAGGATCCACAGTTCCTTCTTGCATGTCTCATAAGCATGAACTAGATGATTTATTTTTTAAACCTTACCAATGAATCTGAAAGAAAAGCAAGTCTTGAAGAGGAAAACTTACATTGGGTGTTAAATTAATACTGCAAATTCTTTGGTGTGTGATAGCTATTCAGTTAGTACAAATGATATTTTTCTTCACTTTGTCTCAAATTATAATTCAGGCACTGCTAGAGGATGTGGTTGGCAGAAAATTGGTGCATTTGTGAATCTGGGGTCATACTATTTAGTTGGGATTCCATCAGCTATTGTATTAGCTTTTGTGTTGCACATTGGTGGCAAGGTAAAAAAAGTTCATTATTTTGTAACATAGCCTTGTGACCCATGGTCAATTTTACAAAAATTGAAGTCATCTGATTTTGTTCTACCTTCTAAATATTTCATGTAGGGGCTCTGGCTGGGGATCATATGTGCTCTCATTGTTCAAGTAATTTCTCTAATGATCATTACTATACGCACTGATTGGGAACAAGAGGTGAACTTCTTCATTTTTTTAAATCTCTTTCATCCTTTCATTTATGTGATGTTGGATGATGACATGCCTATATTTTTCTGACTCCATATTCAGGCAAAGAAGGCTACAGATAGAGTCTATTGTTCAATAACACCAGACAGCATAGTCTCATGAAGTTGCAATTTCTTTGCAGATACACATTCTGACTGAGTTCTATTTGGATGAAAGCAATACAAGCTTTGTTACAATTCTTCCAAATAAGAAGTCTAGGTGCAAATATATATGGCCAAAAGGGTAATATCATGATCTCTGATAATATAAAGTAGTGTACAATATAGATGATCCAACTGGCCATTGGAACTGAAGAATATCGGTAGAAGACATCTTTTAATGATATTTTTTTCTTTTTTATACAAGTGAGAATTGAACTCATAACCTAATATAATCTATCTAAACTCTTTATCACTGGATCAATTCTATTGGCTTGGCATCTTTTAATGTTTTATCCACGGAAAAGATGTATAAATTGTATGTTCGTAGTTTTGAGCTTTGGTGGTTTTTAACTTTTTATAGATTATTGGATTTTGGTGATTACTTTGACTAATTTAGAGTTTTTTTTTTAATATTATTAATATGAGTCATTAGACAGCAAAGATGTTAGCTTGATCAAAAAAAAAATTTAAATAATATCTAGTAAAAAAACGTGAGAAATATTTTAGCAAAAAAGCAAAATAAAAAAACAATTTCTTTTAATTATCTGTAATACAAAAAAAATAAAAAAAGAGGAGAAGAACACAATGCCAAAGTTTTTGTCAGTTTTATTGTTGTCTCCAAATACATAGTCCAAGATAATGAGACATAGGCAGTGCAAATAGGTACAGACAGGGAAAAAAAATGAAAAGGAAGGAACAAGGAGAGAGAATATCCACAAGAGATAAACCTGAAAAAAAAAAACAAATGCAGTGGTTAAACTGCACATTGGAGACTTCAATGTATTCTATCCATTAAATGAAATGGAAGCCATTTAGATTTTAGAGAGGGGTTGGAGGGTTTGAAGAAAGTAAGGACAGAAGGGTGAAGGTTGGTTACTTGGTTCTGATTTTTCTGCACCCTTTGAGAAGAAAATACTGAGTGAGAATTCAATAGAGACTACCTGCAGTGCATGATTTTCCTGAAGTTCTATCTTAGTTCCCGAAGAAAGCAATGACCTTTATGTAGCTACAAAAAGAAGAGTGATGGAGCCACCTTTGTTAGATTGAACAACACGTCAACTACTTTGCAATTCAAGGTGCACGATCTACCCTTCAGTTTGTATCATTGGAAATTTCATGCATTTACTAGAATTTTGATTGGTTTTAGCATGTGCAGTGACATTTATTTTGTTATGATCTGCATATATAATAAAGGGAATTATCTCTATTCAGCTGCAAAAAAAAAAATTATTCCGTGCAGCAGTCACATATTTAGGATATGATTTCGTATTTTGAGATTTTTTTTTTAACATAAATCTCAAAATACGAAACTGTATCCTGAAAAGTATGTGTCAGCTAAAGATAATTTCTTTGCCACAACAGGAAATTAATAGAACTATATAATAAATCAATTTTAACATAAACCTTATACTATATAAAAAAAAAAGGTTCACAACTGCAACTAACCATAGACCCGTTAACTTCACAGCATCATTATAAGACCCATCATCATGCAGCCACCATAACCGCCGGCAATCCGCCACCAAGAGCACCGGCCAGCCATGCCCTTGTGTTGTGCCCCCTGTTTTTAGTTTATCTAATTTGGATTATTAATGTTTATTTGATTGTCTTGGGTTAAGCTTTTATATATATATATATATATATATATATATATATATATATATATATATATATATATATAGTTTATTTTTGAGTGGGTTAATGAATTTGCACTCTAAAGTTATTTATTATTAACATTTCATGTTTAATATCTGATACACAAATTAGTAAGAATGTTTGTTTTTAGCATTTTATGATGCGACATTGGGTTCATTTAATAAAAAGAATTTAAAAATTATTATGGCCTTATCTCATGAGCCCATATCTTTATGGCCCACAATAGACAATTACCTAAGGTAGTGTTTGGTTGGGGAGAAGTAAAAATTTTCCTAGCCAAGTGCAGGTGGGAATGTGAAACTCCATGTTTGGTAGAAGCATTTTGGTTGATTTTGACGTCAATCAGCTTTGTCTAGCATTTGCGAAAACAGGATAAAAGCACTGTTTGAAAGTCCTCTGAGAAGGTGGTATTTCTTATGGAAAGCAGATAACTTGAAAAAGGTGATCATATTGAAGACAACTTTACCCCTCTTCCACTGGTCAATGACCTAGTCGTCATTGGTGATCTCTTCTAGCATTTATGGTGTTCGGCCTTTTGTTCCTTTTTTAAGGAGTCTCCCTAGCAGATATGCAAACAGAGAAGAGACCTTTATTGTGTCGATTCCAGCTTGTTTGTTTTCTTCTTTCATGGATGTAGACTTTAGTTTCGATTCCAATCAAAATCAGCATAGAGCACCAAGCAAGAGTCTCAATGATCAGTGAAATTATCTGTCAATAGATCATATAACAGCTTTAATTCTCAGAGTCAACATCTGACAAAAAAGGACTAAGCAGAAGAATTAAAAGGTATTGTATGAAAAAATGATAATGCAAATAGGTTATTTCTTTTGGGTTTTTTTTTTGTAATTTTATTAAATTTTCTCATCAATATTTTATCTTCAACCAAACACACATTTAGTAATTTAACTCAATTTTCCTGGTAAAATTTTGTCCAACCAAACAATATTTTTTAAACTTTCTCATATAACTCACTTTCCCCGCATATCCCTAGTAATTACATTTTCTTAGTAAAACAAAAATTTTCTCCAACCAAATATTACCTAAGAGAAATACAGAAACAATCCTATTAGATAAGATAATAATCTTATCATGTGAATTGAATATTAGGCCTTTTATATTTCCAAGAGACCCACAATCCTATCATATAATTATTTATAAATAAGAGGTTAAATCAATCAGAAATACATTTTATATTATTTATTAATTATCATTGTGCAGACAGACTCACTCTTTGACTATATCGTTCATCATAATACATAATAATCTACAATCCTCTAAGATATATTTCTCATAAGTATCTGAGAGCATATTACATAAACTCACCAATCTGTCATTGGACACTCTCAATCCCCTGGATCGAATAAAAATAATATATAAAACTTTATAACCCTTTCCTTATTATGTAAATTTAGCTTGTTATTAGTTTTATTAGGATATGGATTTTAATTAAAAAAAAAGTACGAGTCGTGTAGATTTATCCGCCTTTTTTTGGTAAGTGGTTATTTTATTTCGAAAAGAGAAAAGAAAAGAAAATTATTTAATTTATTTTTCATTATTAGGTATTAATTTTTAGCAAATTTGTGTATATGCAATCAATAAGAATACATTAAAGCCACCAAGTATTCTCCTTCTTTATTTTTTGTACATTGCTTTAATTTAATTGAATATTTTCCATATTGATAGCGACAAGCCGACAAGTACCGTAATAAATGAGATGCTCATTAATAATGGATATGAACAATTCAAAATAAATTAAATACTATTTAGTTAATTTAAAAAAATAAGTAGCGTTAAAATCATTCTTAATACACAGGTTAACAAGGCTCAAGATTAAAATAATCTGGCGTCAATTGAAGTTTCAAATAATTAAATGGGTTTCCTAGTGCCTATAAACACATAATTCTGCCCCCGTTGTTCTCATCATATCATTTTATGTCCATTTTCAAAAGGCTTCAACTCTTCATATAGATCATTTTACATCCCCATTTCAATATAAATAAAGAACCCTTCGTTCTTTTAGCAGGTAACCATAAATGAAGAACAGTTTATAAATTCTCATATGTATAACCTCTCTCTTTCTCTCTTTCTTAGAAGGATTTTTGACTCTTGATATACTACCACTTTTAAAACAAATTTTTTTTTTTTTGATTCACTCTTTTGTTTTATTTTTCCAAATGTGCCAATTTTATTGAAGTAGATCCCACCAATATGGTAATACCTATTTGCTGTATTTTCTATGGGAAAAAAAATTGCAAGTTGTCCACTACCAAGATTTTGTACTTCCCCATTATGAGTTATTAACTATATATAAGCAGCATCCAGTTAATTATTTCTTGCAATTAATGTTTGTAATGTCAAATTACCACTAAGTTCATGGATATTTTCTTGTTATCTTTCATATAAGAAATATTGTATATCCAATTAGGCTACTTTTTCTAGAATATTAGGTTGTATTTAGTGATTATCTTAATTTGATTGACAATTGTGATAAACTACATATACAAAAAGCTAGAGTTTGGTGCCTCATGGTGTTGATTTAAATAAAATGCAGTGAGAACCATCACTTGAAAAGAAAATTAAGAATGAAAAGAGTTTGGAAGCAGGAAGTGGTTGAAGAAGTGAAGAAGCAACTATGGCTGGCTGGTCCTCTGTTCAGTGTTGGTCTGCTGCAGTATAGTTTGCAAGTGATATCTCTTATGTTTGTGGGTCATCTTGGTGAATTGCCTCTTGCAGGTGCTTCAGTGGCCAGTTCCTTTGCATCTGTCACTGGTTTCAATTTGTTGGTAAGGAAGTTTCTATTTATTGTAGCTCAATTTATTTTATTTTATATTATCCATTGCTTCATGGATCATTTAACTAGTCCAATTCGAGCCAAATAAAAATATATGAGCGGCTAAATTATTCTTATAAAATTTTAACACAGTTGCATTTCAAGAGATTCGAACTCAAGACCACTAATTAAGTTCGAACAACTCTTTATCAATTGATCCACATACATGGTGCTTGGTGGTTGTGAGAATTTTTTTGGCACTACTGTAATACCTACATCCATACTAAAAAGGAAAAGTTCTTAAGACTTAAAGAAAAATATAAACAAAATTTGGGTTAAAATGGATGAAAAAATTTCCTATTTAAAAAAAAAAAAACAATAGTTCGGTACTCTTGCTTCATTGAAAAAAATTTCCGGTGGTTACATGTCAAAACTTTATGTATCAGCGATTAGCCTTTGCAACTTTTTTTTTTTTTTTTTTTTTTGTAAAAATTAGCCTTTGCAACTTATTCACTTTAGTTTTAGTCAAAAGTTCTGTTTAGAATATTTTAATTATAAGATTTTCTAAACCAAACAAAAAAAACCTATAGATAATTTATTTTATTTTCAATATATTAAGTCTATGTAAAGGGTGCAACTTTAACATCTCCTAGGGCCAGTTTCGATTAATATAAACGTCATAAAAATAAATAAATTGAAACCGACTGATTCAAATATGTAAGAATATTTTTTGTTATTGAATTAAAGGGTATTGCACACGTGAGATAGTTAATGGTAAGAGTATGCTTTTATAAGGAAATGTGTTCATAATAGTAAAAAGTAAATAAATAAACAAACTTTCTCATTATTTTTTCGCTTAGTAATTCGAGATTTATAATGTTATTCTGGTATCTTTCATTTGAATTCATCTACCACGCATCCCAACTAATTTGAAATAAAGGTGTTATTGATGTTGATATTGTTAAATGTTATTCTTGCTGATTACTCGTTATAAATTCTAACAGATGGGTATGGCTAGTGCATTGGATACCTTGTGTGGCCAGTCATTTGGAGCAGAACAGCACCATAAGGTTGGCATACACTTGCAGAGAGCTATCTTTGTTCTCTCATTTGTAAGTGTCTTTGTAGCTATCATATGGGCATGTACCAAAAACATTCTAATTGCAATTCACCAACCAGTTCCCATAGCTGAGGAAGCTGGAGTATATGCCTTTTACTTGATTCCAAGCCTTTTTGCTTATGGTATCCTTCAATGCCTTCTCAAGTTTCTACAAACTCAAAACATTGTCTTCCCCATGATGCTAAGCTCCGCAGTTGTGGCTTTACTTCACACCCTTTTATGTTGGGTGTTTGTAACTAAATCAGGACTTGGTAGTAAGGGAGCTGCCATAGCAAATTCAATATCTTATTGGGTGAATGTGCTGCTAATGGCACTTTATGTCAAGTTTTCTACTTCATGTGAAAAATCATGGAATGGCTTATCAAAGAAGGCCCTACAAAATATCCCAGAATTCCTTAAAATCTCAATTCCTTCAGCTCTTATGCTTTGGTATATTATTGATCCTGAAGTAACATACTCTTATCATGTTGTCCTATAATTCTTCTTATCATATTTCTGATTCAGTTTAACTCTCTACATTGACCAGCTTAAAGACTTGGACATTTGAACTAATGGTTCTGCTATGTGCTCTTCTTCCAAATCCAGAGTTAGAAACTTCAGTGTTGTCTATATGGTTAGCACTCAACTAAACGTGTGAACAAAATGCCTATACCATTTGCATTTTTTATTTTTTTTTCTTCACGAAATAACTAACATTTCTTGTGGATATGATTATATAAATATGTAGCGTGACATTTCTGTTTTCAGCCTTAATACATTTGGAATTGCATGGATGATACCCTTTGGACTAAGCTGTGCTGCGAGGTACCTTAACACACTGCATTTATCAAACACAATTCCATTATGTAAATGAGTTTTTCATTCAGTTGTATCATTTGAGATGCTTAAGGCATGAAATTGAAGCTATATATGGTATATATTGAGAAACTTTTTCCAATTTGCAGCACAAGGGTCTCAAATGAACTAGGGGCTGGTCATCCACAAGCTGCAATTCTTGCAGTTCGGGTTGCTCTTTTCCTTGCCCTTGTTGTGGGTATTATGATTGTATTAGTGATGATTCTGATAAGAAAAATATGGGGCAATCTTTACAGCAGCGAAACAGAAGTTATCAAATATGTAGAAGCCATGATGCCCATTCTTGCTATATCCAGCTTCCTTGATGGGATTCAAAGTGTCCTTTCAGGTATCCAAATTAATTTCCTACGTTGAAATCTGTTGAAAAATTACGTCAAATAATCATGAGAGGATAAAATATGTATTTAATAATTGCTTCGACACAAAATCAATTCAACCTAAAATCTTAACACAAAATCAATTCAACCAAAAAATTTATTGGGTAAAGACCTTTTTAATGGTTTATATTATTATCTAACAAACTCCTTCACGCAAGAGCTCTTTGGACTTAAAACGTGGATATTAATTACACAGGCTCAATTTTTGGTTTATGTGCTTATTTAATTTCACTAGAAAGTGATGGGAGGTGGTTACTAAAACTCTAATACCATGTAAAGAATCAATTCAAATAACCTCAAGATATTGAGTGAGAACCTTTATAATAATTTATATTATTCTGTAACATAATTTGAATGACAGATTTCATATCTTGAAAATTAAGACACTTCAAATCAAAAGGCTCCTCAAACACAATCGTATGACCAATCACATTGGAGTTGAAGGATGAAAATGGTAATAATTATGCTAGAAAAAACTAGTAGGGTTGCAGTTTTAATGCGAAGAGACACGTATCATCAATAAAATTAATTCAAAACTAATTTCAATAATCCCCTAGGTGATTAAAATCATGATCTTATAAATATGAAAGTGTTACAATTCTTGGTATAGAGCTACCAAGAATCAGCCCACTAATCGAACTAACAGAAACAGAAAACATAAGAAACAACACACAAGAGATTTATACTTGGTTCAGAAATTCTTTGTATAAGAATTTCCTACATCCAAGTTGGCCAGTGAGGGTCAAACGCCCTCTAGCATGCACTCTTATTCAGAAAACAGATAACAGGTACAACGAGTTCAAGATCCTAAACATGTAACTCTACCAATACAGCTTATACAAGGCATATAACAGAGAAAGAATAAGCAAGACTACAGTAATGCATCAGGAATTAAAACACCCGAACAAATACATCACATGTATTTAAAGATTGAAAACAACAGCATAAAAATTAACTGGAAGGACTTCACCAAATCAATTAGCCAGCATCTTCATCCAATGCGCCCAGCTCCTCATTATCATGCGTTCTTCTTGTCCAAAGAGGAACGTCACCAGGTTCAGCCTTTCCACCACTGTTGGTAGAATCTCTCAACAATACACCGATTAAAAGCTTCGTCTTCTCACCAGGATCAAATCTCTCAAGAGAACCAAGATGAGATTCTTAGTTTAACTCTCTCAAAAAAGCCTCACAAGCTCTCAAAGAAACCCTAAGATATTCTTTCTGCAGAGAACTTCAACGAAAAGATGAAAACCCCAACTTTTCCGTATGGCACACAATGAATCAGCTTAAGGAATAATGCCATTGTGGCAACACGAATATGTATCACAGTTTGATAGCAATCACACCGTAACAAACAAAACGATGCGTTTTGTATGTTGGTGCTAAATGCTAATAGCCAGCAAGGGTAATCAATTTGGGCCGTAGAGATAAAGTAAACATAATGAAGCCAATGGCCCACAAATATATATCAAATGAGACTAATACCAAATGGCAGTATCAGTCAAGTATGAAAAATATATGTGTTTAGGAAAATAAACATAACAAATCTCCACCTATTTACTAAACAGAACAAAAGTGCACACCAAAGTTTTATGGCGTTTAACCCAAGGCCTATGCTATGCATGCAATTTAGGGAGGTTTTATTTTTAACAAATTTAGAGCCTCCCTAAATTTACTAAGAGGAACAGTCTTAGTCAAAATATCTGCAGGATTAATTTCAGTTGATATTTTATTCACACTAACCTAACCATTACTAATTATTTCCCTTATGAAATGCAACCTAACATCTATATGTTTGGTCCTTTCATGGTATGCACCATTTTTGGACAAGTGTATGGCAGATTGTGAATCAGAAAATACCTTAGGAGGGTCCTTACCTAGACCCAACTCAGAGACAATTCCATGTAGCCACATTGCCTCCTTGACAGCTTCTGTGAGAGCCACATACTCTGCTTCAGTTGTGGAGAGTGCCACAATGTGTTGCAAGCTTGCCTTCCAGCTCACCACATTTCCTCCCACACAAAAAACAAAACTAGTTAGAGACCTTCTTTTATCAAGATCAGCATCATAGTCAGAATCACAATAACCAGTAATATCACAATTAACTGAGTTTTCAGCAGTATAATGAATGCAGCAATCAACAGAGCCACTAAGGTATCTAAGCAACCATTTCACAGCATTCCAATGTTCCTTAGATGGTTTACTCATGTATCTACTTACTACACTAACACCATATGCAATATCAAGCCTAGAACCTATCATGGCATACATTAGGCATCCAACAACATTAGAATATGGAATATTGCACATAAAGGAAGCCTCATCCGAGGCTAACTCACCATCAACAGCCTTCAACCTGAAGTGACCAGCAAGGGGAACACTTACAAGTTTGGCCAGGTACATGTCAAAGGTCTTTAAGACCTTTTTCACATACTCAGATTGAGAGAGAGTCAATTTCCTCTCATCTCTAGTCCTTGTAATGTCCATGCCAAGTATCCTCTTGGCTGGACCAAGGAATTTCATCTCAAATTCCTTTTTCAACAAAGATTTCAAATTATTAATTTCATTTATGTCCTTAGATGCAATTAACATGTCATCAACATAAATCAACAAGTAGATAAAACAGTCATCATGCAATTGTTTAAAGTACACACAATGATCAAAACTACTCCTATTAAAGCCTTTGGACAAAACAAAATCATCAAACCTTTTATACCACTGCCTAGGGGCTTGTTTTAACCCATAAAGGGACTTTTTCAAAAGGCACACTTTGTTCTCAGCCCCCTTTTTTATAAATCTTTCGGGTTGTTCCATGAATATGAGCTCTTCAAGGCTGCCATGCAAGAAGGCAGTCTTGACATCCAATTGTTCCAATTCTAAATCATGAATTGTAACAACTGAAAGAATAAGCCTAATAGAAACATGTTTCACAACAGGGGAAAAAATTTCATTGTAGTCAACCCCCTCAACTTGTGAAAAACCCTTAGCAACAACCCTTGCCTTAAACCTGGCAGCTTCAACACCTGGGATTTCTGGCTTCCTTTTAAAAATCCACTTGCATCCAATTACCTTCTTGTTCTTTGGACGCTCCACCAAAACTCAAGTCTTATTTTTCTCAAGAGACTCCATCTCTTCCTTCATGGCTTTTAGCCAATGAATTTTAGAATCCAACCTCATAGCCTCTTGGTATGAGCTGGGTTCATTAAACTCCAGCATATCTCCTACTTGGAGTGCAAATGCAATGACATCTGCATGAGCAAAACAACTTGGAGGTCTTATACTCCTCCTAGTCCTATCCCTAGATAGCAAATAGTCCTCTAGATTATCTCTATCCACTTCCACATCATGCTCCTCAATGGGAATGTCATTCCCATCATCTTGAACTTCAGCAACAGTGTGCTGTTGTTCATTTTCAGCCACATCATGTTGCTGCCCAGTGTTGTTGGGCAGCTCCACCTCCAACTCAACAGTCCTAGGAGGATGCTCTTTGTCACTAAGCTTGGATATGTCTTTATAGAATGTGTTTTCTTCGAAAATCACATCTCTACTTATGACACACTTCCTTTCAGCTATGAGCCATAGCTTATATCCCTTAACACCTGAAGGATAACCAACAAAGACAGATTTAACAGCTCTAGGACTCAACTTATCTTGTTTTACATGCATGTATGCAAGACAACCAAATGGTTTTAAGTGTCCTAGACTTGGTGGCTTACTAGACCAAAGCTCCATAGGGGTTTTAAGACCTATAACAGTGGATGGGCTCCTATTTATAAGGTAACAGACTGACAGCCTCAGCCCAAAAAGATTTAGGGAGACCAGATTCAGCCAGCATACATCTGACCTTATTTAGGATGGTTCTATTCATCCTTTCAGCCACCCCATTTTGTTGGGGTGTTTCAGCACAAGTTCTGTGCCTCTTAATACCATGCTCATTGCAAAAATCAAAAAATTGATTATTGCAAAACTCAAGCCCATTATCAGTCCTTAGGACCTTGACTTTCTTATCAGTTTCATTCTCTACAAGGGTCTTCCAATTCTTGAAGCTATCAAAGGCTTGATCCTTTTGCTTCAAGAACATGGTCCATACTCTTCTAGAGTATGAATCCACAACCGAAAGGAAGTAATGGCAACCAGAGAGAGAGGGGGAACATTAGGAGATGCCCACAAATCAGAGTGTATGTAATCAAGGACAGATTTAGAAAAATTTGAAGAACTAGGAAAAGGTAACTTGTGTGTTTTTCCTAAAATACAATTTTCACAAAATTCAACACAAGTTACTTTCTTAGAACTTATAATGCCTTGTTTACATAACTCAGACAGACCCTGGTTGCTAATATGACCCATTCTCTTATGCCAGAGAACATATTCATCATCCTTGGCTGCTGTTATACAGCTTTCGGATGAAATAGCATGGCCCTGTAATATATACAGGCCATTAATCAACCTTCCTTCCATTAAAATTTCACTACCCTTAAGAACAGTGAGTGAACCTTGCTCACTCTTGAATAACAGCCCACTTGACTCAATCATACCTAGAGAAATTAAATTTCTCCTCAAGTCAGGGACATACCTCACTTCTTTGAGGATTTTATGGCTGCCATCAGCCATTAGAAACTTGACAGCCCCAATCCCTTCTATTTGATAGACCTGGTCATTCCCCATAAGGACCTTTCCACCCTTTTGGAACCTTAAACCAGCAAGCCACTCCTTCCTAAGAGTCATGTGAAAAGTGCAACCTGAATCCATAACTCATTCAGCCTCAAAGCCCTTATTAGACACCATAAGGACTTCAGCACCCTCATACCCGCTAAGTAAATTTGCATACTCAGTCTTGGTTGCTGCCTTTGCAGCTCCCTTATTATTTTCAGGGCAATTCTTCTTGATATGCCCCTCTTTATGACACAACCAGCAGGTAAGTTTACCTTTTGACTGCTCCTTATTTTTATTACCTTGTGTGTTCTGGTTAGGTTGGGATACATTATTGTTTCCCTTCCATTTATTTTTAAATTTCCCCTTCTTGTTCCCTTTACCCTTCACAACCAGCCCCTCAGCATGGGACTTTTTATGGGAGAGTATTTCAACCTCCCTTGCTTTCAAAGCTTCAGTTATCTCATCTAAGTCCATTCCCCCTTTGCTGTATTTTATAGCATCTTTTACACCCCTATAAGAATCTGGAATAGAATTCAAGAGGATCAAAATTTGATCCTCATTTGAGGCAGTTGCCCCAGCATTATCCAGATCTAAGGTGAGTTTGTTAAACTCATCAAGATTGTCCTCCAGGAACTTAGAAGGATCCATCTTGAAGGAAAAGAATTTCTCCTTCAAAAACATCTTGTTTGGGGCAGATTTAGTTTGATAGAGAGCCTTAAGCTTTTCCCAAAGCTCTCTAGGATTAGTTATCTTACAAACACGCCTAAGGACACTATCAGACAGATTTACAACAATTAGACTATGAGCTAAAGCCATTAAGTCTTTTAGTTCCTTAGGTGTCAGGGAATTAGGAAGATCCTTTTCAGGACCAACAACATCCTCACACTTCTGTTGGACCAAGACAGCCATCATCTTGATCTTCCACATGTTAAAGTCACCCCTCCCATCAAACTTCTCCACCTCAACCTTGGTGATACCCATCCTCTTCAGCTTCCAACAGCAGATAGGACGAGGACCAGAGGGAAAAAGACAGAAAACACGGAACAGAAACAGATACTGACCAGAAGAAAAAAGGAACCAAGAACCTAAGCTCTTGATACCACTTGTTACAATTCTTGGTATAGAGCTACCAAGAATCAGCCCACTAATCGAACTAACAGAAACAGAAAACATAAGAAACAACACACAAGAGATTTATACTTGGTTCAGAAATTCTTTGTATAAGAATTTCCTACATCCAAGTTGGCCAGTGAGGGTCAAACGCCCTCTAGCATGCACTCTTATTCAGAAAACAGATAACAGGTACAACGAGTTCAAGATCCTAAACATGTAACTCTACCAATACAGCTTATACAAGGCATATAACAGAGAAAGAATAAGCAAGACTACAGTAATGCATCAGGAATTAAAACACCCGAACAAATACATCACATGTATTTAAAGATTGAAAACAACAGCATAAAAATTAACTGGAAGGACTTCACCAAATCAATTAGCCAGCATCTTCATCCAATGCGTCCAGCTCCTCATTATCATGCGTTCTTCTTGTCCAAAGAGGAACGTCACCAGGTTCAGCCTTTCCACCACTGTTGGTAGAATCTCTCAACAATACACCGATTAAAAGCTTCGTCTTCTCACCAGGATCAAATCTCTCAAGAGAACCAAGATGAGATTCTTAGTCTAACTCTCTCAAAAAAGCCTCACAAGCTCTCAAAGAAACCCTAAGATATTCTTTCTGCAGAGAACTTCAACGAAAAGATGAAAACCCCAACTTTTCCGTATGGCACACAATGAATCAGCTTAATGAATAATGCCACTGTGGCAACACGAATATGTATCACAGTTTGATAGCAATCACACCGTAACAAACAAAACGATGCGTTTTGTATGTTGGTGCTAAATGCTAATAGCCAGCAAGAGTAATCAATTTGGGCCGTAGAGATAAAGTAAACATAATGAAGCCAATGGCCCACAAACATATATCAAATGAGACTAATACCAAATGGCAGTATCAGTCAAGTATGAAAAATATATGTGTTTAGGAAAATAAACATAACAGAAAGGAATCAAAAAAATTAGGATTTTGATTTTCCCTATTGGTTTTTTGCATATTCATATACATTTACATCTTCATATTCCATTACGGTTCTTCTAACTTCCGGAGGGGGCTCTTGATTGGAAGTATCAATATTCAAAAGATGAATTTTGTTTTATCCTGGGAGTTAATTTTCCAATGACTTTGGGCACCAATAGAGAGGATAAATCGCCTTAAAAAAACAACGTGTTGGGCTCGAAATTTTCTTGTATTGGTGATAAATTCATCTATCTCATCAGTTTCCTTGAATTCTGATATTGTATTGAATTTCATGTTTATTTTTTCTTTTCAATTTCTAGAACACAAATTATTAACACACGGTAATTAATTACATTTCCCCCAACAAAATCTTCATCTCGCAAAACACAACAAGAATTTCCATGCAAAGGAAAAGGTTTCTTAGCTAGGACGTACATGCATTTAAATGTTTCAGTACAAAACGATTTTGGTTATGGTATTAACACAATCAATTTATGGTGGGGAACAAGGGATTGCAAGAGGTTCTGGTTGGCAGAAAATTGGTGCATATGTGAATCTTGGATCATTTTATTTCGTGGGAGTTCCTTCTTCGATGGTATTAGCTTTTGTTTTCCACATGAAAGGGAAGGTAACTTAGCACATAATTTATTTCTGGTCTTTACTCTTTATAATTATTGCAACTTGTAATTGTGCTCTTCACATAGATTTGGCTAATGCACATGTTTGAAATAATAGGGCCTTTGGTTGGGGATTGTCTTTGCATTCATCGTGCAAGTGATACTTTTTGGTTTCATTACCATTCGAACTAGCTGGGAGAAAGAAGTAAGGCATCAATTCCATATACACTTATTAGTTGCTTTGTTGAACAAGTCACAAAATCTAGCTCTTTTTTGGAATTTCTTCTCCAACAACGATTAACACCATTTGCATCTTTTTTAGGCAAATAAGGCAGCAATGAGAGTCAACGACATCAAAATCCCTCCGGAGTTGTCAAAGGGAGATCCAACATTACCATCTTAGAAGTGGATATGTCTTGGGTCTATATATGTAAATTATAGGAATTAATGTATTAAAAAGAAGAAAGAGAGAACTAGACTGAATAATATGAAATAGATATTTATTTAATTTGTTTTGACTCGAAATAAACTACAAAGCACAAATACCAATTTATAGTAATATCAGACTCCAAATCTTGATAAAATAAGAAGAAAAAAACGATTAAATTATAAAGAAATAAAAAAAATTATTCTCAAGAAACTGTATAAAATATACCAATCTATTCTAAAATATAATTAAGATATTATAATATATTTTTCATATATTCTAACAAGTTGTATTATTTATTCTAAAGACTCTTACATGTGTCTCGAGGATTTGGACTTAAAAAAAATTGTTTCATTTTTCTTTGTATCATGGGAGGACAAAATAACTTTTTTTAATCAGAAAAGCAGGCCTAGGACAATTCCCATAAGAAGCTCTCAAACCTCGGAGACATCTCGATACAAACGAAACAAAAAAGTCACGACTCTTGTATGAACGGTTTTTCTTGCTTAAAATGGTTCCCTTCAATGGTATTTTGGATAAGAATATACTGGACAAACTGATATACGATATATTCTTTATGCATATACACTATTGCATTTGTATCTTTTTATTCATATATGAACAAAGCTTTTATATAGTTCTTATCAAATGATGACAACGGATCTTTATTAAGGTCAGCAAGGAGAAAATGAAAGGGTGCTTTTGTCCATATTCAAGAGTACTTTCTACAATATCAAAAGATGATAGCTCAATTAGCGTATGGAAGCTGAGCAGGTGGGAATGAGAGCATATATTTGATACTTTTCAGTATCATCTTTAAGAGAAGTTTAAAACTTTAATTATAGACTCGTCCCAAACTCTGGAGTAGCCTTAATCCTAAAGAGTATTTTCTACAATGTACAAAGGAGTTCGGAAAACTAACCAGTTGCCTCCAAGTATAAACCTAATTCATGCTCTGATTAACAACTTATAGTAAGTTAAAATTTTGCCTAGTTTGTTAATTGATACAAGCTTAAGCTTTAACTATTTTTTAGTCAAATAATTTAATCCTATTAATAACTTAAAATTATAGAGAAGGATGGAGGTTAACCTTAATGAAGAAAGATTTTGCTTTAATAAAGAGAAAGGACTTTGCTTTATTATTGATTATATTCATTAATTATTAATTACTAAATTACTTATTAAAATAAGCTAAAATATTTAATATATGGATTCATTCATTGAATAAAAGTAAAATGGATAAAAAATACATCATATAAAATAATTAAAGAAAACTTTTAATTTAAAAAGAATTGAACATATTATACATAAGTTGGTTTTCATTATACTTATTTATTATTTAAATAAATTATAATCTTTATAAAATTCTTATATACTTGTGTATCAAAAAAAAATATAATAAATTTTTTATGTTTATGATAATTTTATTTTTATAAAATAATGAATTTTTTGTTTTTATTTAATAAGATTAGTCAACTTGTCTCTCATCATTAAAATCAAGTATTGTCCTTCCTCGTTAATTTCCTTATGCATGTTACATTGATTAAATTTAGAATTTTCCATATTAATAGTTGAACTGTTTGGACTCAAGATTATTGATAAGTTCATTTCTTTAAACTTTTCTATCAATTCCCACTCTTCAACCATTATATGAGATAAGTGTAAGGACTTACGATTAAGGATATCTATAACTATATTTGTCTTATTAGGGTGGTATTCCTTTAGAAATTTTATCTATCTTCTTTTCTTTGCCTCGTAATCAAATTTTTTTTTTGTCAAACAAATACTTAAGGGTTTTGTAATCATTAAAGACTTAAATTTCACTTCATACAAGTAATATCTCCACATTTTTAAGGCAAACACTATTGCTATTAATTCAATATCATGAGTAAGGTAATTTTTGGTCTGGGAATTGTCTAGAAGTATAGGAAATTACTTTCCGTTTTTTTCATCAAAACATAACCTAAACCATTTTTATAATTGAATTATGATTTTTGGAGTATTGTTTAAGATTGAATTATAATTTTTTTTAGTGTTATTTATGATTGAATTATAATTTTTTTCGAGTTTTGTTTTCAATAATTTATTATTATTATTATTATTAAAAAATTGAGAGAGTTACAATGTGGTTAGTATAACTTAGTTCATTGGTAATAGTCCCCGCTGTGGACTCTCCTTGCCGACCTGTCACACTAACTACTATATAATTATTAGTTTATGTGACATGTAACATTAACTGTTATTACTATTATTATTATTATTGTTGTTGTTGTTGTGTTGTTCATTTTTAACGCAATAACTACTAATATCATTATTAAAAAATGTATTTTTTTGACATAAAAATTCTGTAAAAAATGATTAAAATTTCATCGAAAATAAAGTTTTCGACGAAATTATCGAAGAAAATGAAACCATCGAATATCTCTTCGTGAGTAACAATTTTTTCAACGGAATTAAGGATTTCGTCGAAAATTTTCAACGAAATAATTTCTATAGAATGTTTAAATGAAAAATAAATGAAATTCCATTGAAAAATCTTGTATTAATTTTCAATGGAAAAATAATTTTGTCGAAATTTTTCAACGAAAAATGAATAAAATTTCGTTGAAAAATATTTTGTTAATTTTCGACCGAAAACAAATTCCGTCAAAAATTTTCACGGAAAATAAATAAAATTCCGTCGAAAACTATTGCCTCAATTTTCTACGGAATTTTTTTTCTTTCAAAAAAAAATTAATTTCTCTCTACTAGATTAATACCAATTTATGTTTTGCACCTGATAAACAAATATAATTAAAGTAAATAACATATCAAAATCATATGATCTTAATATAATTATGTGTACAGAAGTCTCTGTTATATAATAATGAAAAGAGTCTTATATATACAAAAGTCTTTGTCGTATAATAATCGAAAGAGTCTTGTATGATTTTCGAAGGAATAATATTTTCGTCGAAACCTTCGACCGAATATGTTTTTTGTCAAAATTTTCGTCTTTAATTTTGACGGAATATTTTCAGTCATAATTTTGACTTTTCTAGTAGTGTATAAACAATGGGAAAAGTATTTGTCCGGACATAGAATTATGTCATTTTAATTAAAATTATTATGTTCTAATGTTGTGAGAAAAAAAGTTACAAAATAAAAAACCATGACGAGGAAGATTGGAAAGTTATTGACAGATTTTTTTATTTTAAATATTAAATAAAACACTACTACTTTACTTGAAATGACAAACATTTTTCCTAAACAATATAAGCCTTGAAGGCAGTGCTCTTGAAGTGGAAGGTAGGTGATAGGGACCTGCAACATGAAGGAAGAGGCACAGACGGTAATGTGGGAAGAGAAAAAGAAACAGAGGGGAAGAGATCAGATCAGAAGATGGAAGTACCAACTAGGAGAAGTCATCGAGTTAAGGTACCAGTCAAGTGGACCAAAGACTATGTGCTGGGAACACGTGGATGACAGGTGGCGGTGGGAGACTCAACATTTCTCCTTGGGTCGGTCACGTGATTTACTGCTACCTATTATCTGTGCCAATATCCTAGCCCATTTCGCAATTTCCTTTTTCGCTAATGAAGTCAAGCCTTTTGGCCCAATTAGCAATTTCCTTTTGTCGTATAATAGGAAGTATAAGTGTGAGGAAGAGGGTATCGAAATTCTGTAACAAACTTGTCTTCTCTCTCAACTTTAATCTCTGGAGTAATCAGCAAACTCGAATTGCTGAGTTATAATACAAATTATATTCTGAATTTCTGTTAATATTGTGAATCAATAGCTTAAGGCTATCAATTTGGTGCTTTCATTGAGAGTTGAACTTCTGATCTACACTATGGCAGAAGGAACTCGCAGCTCTGCTAAGCAAACAACCATTGACGAATGCTTGAACCGATTATCACATCATGACGATCAGTTTAATTCTCTAGGTAACCTGTTGAAGGAGATGAATTTGAAGTTAGCCTTGCTGGAGGAAAAATTGGATCAGAATCAGAAAAGCAAGAACAAAGTAGAAGGTGCATCGCACGGAGGTTTGGGAGATTTCTTTGGAGCAAATGCATTCAAGTCAGTGAAACTTACCATACCGCATTTTTCTGGTGGAAATCTGGAACCATGGATCCACAAAATCCAACAGTTCTATGGGTTTCATAACCTCACTGATGTCGAGAAATTCACGCTGACTTCTTTCCACATGGATGGATATGCGGAGGAATGGTATCACTGGATAGATCGCAATGGCAGATTGCGGACGTGGGAACAATTCTTGGTAACATTACGCGCCAGATTTGGACCTTCATGCTATCGTGATCTGAGAGGAGAGCTTGGTCGTCTGACTCAAGTAGCCACGGTGACTGAGTATCAAACTCGGTTTGAGCAATTGGCTAACCAGGTGATCGGGATCGACGATATCAGCCTTTAAAGCTACTTCGAATCTGGTCTGAAGCCTGAGATACGTAAGGAGGTCCATATGCATTTACCTGCAACCTTAGAACAAGCCATCGACTTAGCTATGTTAATAGAAGACAAAATTAATGATAGAAGTACTGCGAGATCATATTACAACAGAAACAGCCTTGGTTCTAGTAATGTCAGCCAAACTGGACTTTTACCTGCACCCCCAAGGTCTAATGCTCTAAGCACGATGCCAAAAAAAGAAAGCATACTAATCAAAAGGCTGTCATCAGCAGAAATGGCAGAAAGGAGGGAGAAGGGATTGCATTTTTACTGCGATGAAAAATACAACAAAAATCACATATGTAAAGGGAAGATGTTCATTCTGGTGGTACAAGATGAAGAAGGTGATACAGTGGAGACTGATGTGCGTGACTTAGAGCTAGAGCATAAGGTTGATAATGAGAAGATTGGAGGAGAAGACAATGTCATGCCTGAGATCAGCTTGCATGCCATGGCTGGTCAACACTCCACTAGCACCTTACGGGTTACAGGCCGAATCAACAAAACAGCAGTGCAAATCTTAGTCGATGGGGGCTCCACTCATAATTTTATACAGGAGCGATTGGTGAATTTTTTGGGCCTGGAAACCAAGCCAACCCAGAAATTTCAAGTATTGGTAGGCAATGGAGAGGTGATGAATTGTTTGGGAGTGTGTGCACATGTTCCCCTAGAAATACAAGGCCATGAGTTTTGTACTGACTTGTTCGTGTTGCCAATTCAAGGAGATGAAGTTGTTTTAGGTGTACAATGGCTCTCTGAATGGGGAGATGTGACCATCAACTATAAGCAGCTAGTTACGAAGTTTGAGAAGGATGGCTGCAGGGTGGAAATTCAAGGAGAGTCCAACATGGCCATGGAAGCAATTTAGCTGAATCAGTTACGCCGATTGACATCATCCCACTCAGTTGCTTGTCTATACCAGCTACAAACTATAGAACACACCAGCAAGGATTTCCAGCCAGAAAACCAAGAGTTGGATGCACGGGTGCAACAGGTCCTGCATGAATTCGATGATATTTTTGAAAAGCCTTCGAGCTTGCCCCCTTTCCAAGAGGAGGACCACCGAATACACCTAGAACCTGCAACCACAGCAGTTAATGTCAGACCATATTGGTACCCACATTTTCAAAATATATAGATAGAGAAATTGGCAAAAGAGATGCTAGAAACAGGAATGATTCGCCACAGTCTTAGTCCTTTCTCGTCCCCTGTCCTATTGGTCAAGAAGAAGGATGGGACCTGGATGCTCTGTGTTGACTATAGGGCTCTCAATCAGGTGACTATAGCCAATTGGTTCCCCATTCCAACCGTAGATGAGATGCTAGATGAACTGGCAGGCGCCACAGCATTTTCAAAGATAGACTTGCGGTCAGGATACCACCAAATCCGCATGGCTGAAACCGATATTTACAAGACGGCGTTTCGTACTCATGAAGGCCACTATGAGTTTGTGGTCATGCCATTTGGCCTCACCAACGCACCGGCTACATTCCAATGGATCATGAACTCAGTACTTAAGCCCTTTTTGAGGAAATTTGTAATTGTTTTCTTTGATGACATTTTAGTTTATAGCAGGACACTAATGGACATTTGGAGCATCTCTGGACTGTGCTTCATTGCTTACAGCAGAACCAGCTTTATGCTAAAAGGGAGAAGTGCCCATTTGCTCAATTGGAGGTAGAATATTTGGGGCATGTAGTAGGAGCCATGGGGATACGACCAGATGCAAAAAAGATCCAAGCAATCATGGATTGGAAGACACCAACAACAGTAAAGCAACTGAGAGGATTCCTTGGGCTGGTCGGGTATTATAGGAAGTTTGTCAAAGGATTTTCCCAACTGGCAGCTCCTTTGACCACACTCCTCTAGAAGGATGGTTTTCAGTGGAGTCCATCTGCTACTCAGGCCATGAACGAACTCAAAGAAGTCCTATCGAACCCCCCAGTGTTAGCCTTACCAAATTTTAGTGAGCCTTTTGTGCTGACGACTGATGCATCCGGAATTGGGATTGGAGCCCTGCTTAGCCAAATTAACCAACCAATAGCTTACTTCAGTCGAAAACTGTCCACCAAACTGCAGCAGTCGTCAACTTATGTCCGAGAGCTGTTTGCCATCACTGAGAGTGTTGCAAAATTTCACCAATATTTGTTGGGCAACAAATTTACCATACGAACGGATCAGCACAACATCAAGGAGTTTATGGCTCAGGTAATTCAAACCCCAGAGCAACAACGCTTCCTGGTGAAATTGTTGGGGTTTGACTATACCATTGAGTATTACCCCGGAGCTGTTAACAAAGTGGCAGACGCCTTGTCTAGGGTGCACGAATGAGAAAGGATTGAAGAACCGGCCCAAAATTCCATATTCACCTTGTCCACATTAATAAACCCACTGTTAGATTCCATTAAAGCTGAGGTCAGTAGTAAATCAGAATTGGTAAAAATAAGCATGGCAATTGAAGAACAGAGAGATGGTTATGAGCATTACTCTCTCAAGGATGGATTGATTTTTTTCAAGGGAAGGATTGTCCTAGCCAGCACTTCTGAGTTAAAAACCTCCTTGCTGCATGCATTCCATTCTACTGTAATTGGAGGACATGGAGGTACGCGTAAAAACTTGCACAGAATATCCACCCATTACTACTGGCCAAATATGAAAAATGATGTGCAAGAATTCGTACGAACTTGCCCTGTTTGTCAAGTTACTAAGTATCAACCACTGTCTCCCGCGGGTCTTCTCCAACCTCTATCCATTCCTCATGCTGTGTGGGAAGAATTGTCGATGGATTTCATAGTAGGACTTCCCCAATCAGAAGGGAAAACAACAATCATGGTTGTAGTAGATAGCTCTCGAAATATGCCCACTTCTCAGCTTTGGCCAGCAACTTTACAGCTTCAAAAGTGGCATCCGTATTTGTTTCAGACATCTGCAGACACCATGGCATTCCTAAATCGATCGTTTCAGATCGCGATCGCATTTTCCTCAGCTGATTCTGGCAAAAACTCTCCCGTCTCAGTGGCACCCGCCTTCAATTCAGCACGGCCAATCACCCTGAGAGTGATGGACAGACGGAGGTCACCAACCGAGGACTGGAAAAATACCTACGTTGCTATGCCATGGAAAACCCACAAGGTTGGGTTCAGTACTTGGCGTGGGCAGAATTTTCATACAACTCTTCATACCACTCTTCTACTGGGACCACTCCATTCTAGATCCTCTATGGACGACTACCTCCGACTTTGCAACTGTATAATGGAGAATCTTCGCCCATTGAAGCCATGGACACCCTGCTAACACAGAGGGATGCCATTATCAGACAGCTCCACGAGAACCTCCACCGCACCCGTCAGCGAATGAAAAATCAAGTTGACAAGCACCGCTGTGACATCCAGTTTGCTGTAGGTGATCAAGTGTTGGTCAAACTCCAACCTTATCGGAAAAATCAGTACATAACCAGTCTTTCTCTAAGCTCCGACGCCGATTTTATGGCCCCTTTCCGGTCACGGCACGCATCGGGTCTGTTGCTTATCGGTTGGAATTGCCGGAAGGGTCACGGATTCACCCTGTCTTCCACGTATCGTTGCTCAAAGCTTTTCGCCAAAATTTGTCGTTTCACCCATAACCACTGCCGGCGGTGACTTGGGATGGACATCCAGTGACCGATCCGCTAGTGATCCTTCGTTCGCGGACCATTTCGAGTGGGAAAGGTTCAGACTTGCAAGTACTGGTGCAATGGAGGGGGCCGCCCTTAGAAGACGCTTCCTGGATTTCAGCTTCGGAGTTTTGCCAAGCTTTTCGACAGTTTGATCTTGAGGACAAGATCGATTCTTTAAGGGCGGAGGGATTCGATAGGGACCTGCAACCTGAAGGAAGAGGCACATACAGTAATGGGGGAAGATAAGAAGAAACAGAGGGGAAGAGATCAGATCAGAAGATGGAAGTACCAACTAGGAGAAGTCATCGAGTTAAGGTACCAGTCAAGTGGACCAAAGACTATGTGCTGGGAACACGTGGATGACAGGTGCGGTGGGAGACTCAGCATTTCTCCTTGGGTCGGTCACGTGATTTACTGCTACCTATTATCTGGGCCAATATCCTAGCCTATTTCGCAATTTCCTTTTTCGCTAATGAAGGCAAGCCTTTTGGCCCAATTAGCAATTTCCTTTTGTCGTATAATAGGAAGTAGAAGTGTGAGGAAGAGGGTATCAAAATTCTGTAACAAACTTGTCTTCTCTCTCAACTTTAATCTCTGGAGTAATCAGCAAACTCGAATTATTGAGTTATAATAAAAATTATATTATGAATTTCTGTTAATATTGTGAATCAATAGCTTAAGGCTATCAGTAGGCAACAACCTGCTCGAGTAAGAGAGAGTAGCCACAGTGGCCATAAGGAGAAAGGAAATTGCAGACAAAGCAAAGGAACAACTATGACTGGCAGGGCCAATGGTATTAATTTGTGTGTGTGTTTCAGCAAAGCTTACAAATGATATCTCCGATGTAATGGTACATTGACATGGGATCAAGATTTCTGTGTATATAAAATCTACCATTCACTACAAGAAGACAAGGGAAGGATAACCTCCAAAAAAAAAAAAAAGACAAGGGAAGGACACTTTAAGGATGAGAAATTAACATACTGATTCACCGTACATGGGATTAAGATTTCTATGTATATAAAATCAGAAAAAAAATTCTGCAATTACTGTATAAAAGTTATCTTTATTTACTTCTAAAACGATATTGTTTTGAGATTGAAAGATTAAAAAATTATAATTATGAAGACTATAATAATCCTGAAATAAATTAAAATTACAAAAATACTGATTTCTGTCCCAAGACAACGTCACGTTAAATTTATTGCAGAAAATTTATTTGTAGTGACCGACCGATATAAAATGTATCATTCATTGGGTTATGCTTATGCGTCTTTCATTCTTGTCCAATTCAACGTGATGAGTATACCGTAATTTCATCATACAACCAGGGACGTGGTGGGTGTCATTAATTGGTTCTTTGCCGAATCTCTGTCATATGGCAAATTGTGATTACATTACGATTTCAACGTGAAGCATTACGATTTTCTATGAAGCACCAATACTTAAAAAATTCTGACATTTTGACATTTTTTGACACTTCAATGTACGTTATAAAAATTTAAAAAAAGTTTAAAAATTGTATTGCGTGGAGTTTTAATTCCAACTATTAGATTCGTTAGATTACGATTACTATTTTATTGAGTTTAATATAAATATTTAGGATATTTATGTTTCTTTGTAAAATTCATGAATATTATAAGTTTAGTTTCATTTTTTTGTTAAATTATTGAATATTAAATATAATATACACTACATAAATTTAAAATATTTTTTAATATCAAAACGTGTCTTACCGTGTCAAAATCTAACATTTTTTAAAATTAACATATCGAAGTGACGTGTCTCGTGTCGGTATCGGTGCTACGTAGACGATTTTTAAGTCAAAGACGTGCGCATTCAACGTCTTTATCCAAAGCTACAGGTTTTCGTGTTATATATTTAAGAAGAAGAAGAAAACCGTTGGTTAAATAGAATTGAATGCGAAAAACACAGTATCCTGCGGCTGTCTTTTGGTCGCGAGTAAAAGCCACAATTCACCTGATGCATCAACATAAAAACCGCGAGACCACTGGAGACCTTTTTCTATTTCAACATCGATCAATAAAAAAATTCATATAAAAATCATGAATTCTCAAACTTATCCCAGCTAAAAAATTCATATTCAATATTCAAATATAAGAACATGAATAAGGATATATATAGAGAGTTCATAATATTCAAGTTGATATGATTATGTCACGATGTTATCACACATAAATTTTTGCTTTTGTCCCAGAAATTTTTTCTCTGCTTAGTTTGTCCCATTGTAAAAGAAAGAGATTAAAAAAAAATAATGAAACCCACTCACTTTTTATGTAAATAAGATAGAGAAAAAATTTCTTCAGCAAAATTAGGAATGTTTTTCCCATACACTTATCATTAGGGATGTGCATGGGTTGAATCGAACCGAATTTTTTGAAAAACCGAACCGAATTGGTTTAAATGGTTCGGTTCGAAAATGATTCGGTTCAGTTCGGTTGAAAACGATTCAGAATCGGTTCGGGTCGATCCTATTTTGAAAAGAAAAAAAATTAAAAAATAAAGTTATAAAAACAATTTGGTTCGGTTCGAAAACAGTTCGGTTCAGTTCGGAAATGGTTCAGTTCTTAAACCGATTCTAAAAACCGGTTCGGTTCATGAACTGGTTCTTTAAAAATCGGTTCGGTTCATGAACTGATTTTTTAAAACATGTTGTTTTAAGTGCAGTTCAGTTTGATTCATGGTTCGGTTCAGATTTTTGGTTATTTTGTACACCCCTACTTATCACATACATAAAATAGTTTTTACATCAAATTGACTATGACCATCTAATGGAAGACGGGTTTCCACGTTCAGGGCCCAGCATTTTTATATGCGACCTTTCAAAGCAATGCTGTGGGAGAGGAAGTAAGAGAGACAAGCCAAAATGGCCAAATGGAGAAAGGAAATTGCAGACGAAGCAAAGAAGCAGATATGGCTAGCAGGGCCAATGGTATTTGTGTGTGTGTTTCAGCACAGCTTACAAATGATATCTCTCATGTTTGTAGGACATTTGAACGAGTTGCTTCTAGCTGGTGCTTCTTTGGCTACTTCATTTGTGAATGTCACTGGTTTCTGTGTATTGGTAAGTTGACATGATTTTTCTCCCTCTATATACATATTTTTTCTAGTACAAGTGTTTAGTATTCCATATTTTCACACCAGTGCACAATATCATATCTCAATCCCTTTAGCTACGTTTGTATTAATGTTGTGGAAAAATGAACTATGCAAATTATTTAGAGGTTTTCAATAGTTTTGGATGATCATGAAACCAAATTACTTCTTAATGAGCACAGGGAACACAAATTAAGTTAGGATGCATGGTGCTGTTCACAAAGTAAGACACCACACCTTTATATTATAAGGACAATTTTTCGGGAAGTGAAATTCGGGCATACTATCTTTTTTATTTCCCCATTGACCCTTATAAATTTTAAAATTAAATCTCAGATTAATCTGTTTGACTTGAATAAAAATTAATTGAATAATTAAAACATTATATTTAAAAATAACTTATAAAGAATTAGTGAGTCCCACTAGACAAACATGTAAATTAAGAATAAAATTTTAAAATCTTCGAAATAAACTACTCCAAATATATATCCTTCCTTAGGAGCTTTATACACTCATAATCATAAGTGATGAGATAGGAGCTTGCATAAGTCATAATTCAACTGGTTTGGATGGGCATTACAATTTTCAAATTGATTTTTCTTAAAAGTTAAATGTTATTTTGTATTTGAATGGAATACCTAAAAAATTACTTTAACGTAACTACAAAAAAATATTGGATATTAAAATTAAAAAAATGCTTTCAATGTATAAAATTATTAAAAAGGACATATGAAAATAAATCATGGAAACAATATTTTGGGGTTGGGGCAATAATAATAATAATAATAATAATGAAAACAATATTTGGTAATGGTGGTGGGGTTGGTTGAAATTGGAATTGGAGCAAATTTATATTTTGAGAAAAGCTTTTGACTTCTGCTTTGTTTTAGAAGCCATGAACTTTAACTTAAAAAGAAATACTATTTTGACTTTTTTCCCACTTTTTCAAACAATGACATTTAAATGTTTAATTAAAGTGAGAAATACTTTTTTAAAAAATAACAGTTTTTTGAGTAAAAAAAACTCATTCAAATGGGATCTAAACTTCCTTTCTAAGTTTTTCTCTTTGGGCCTCATCCCGTTTCATCATTACAAAAATATTTTGTGAGACATCAAAATATTAAATACTTTCATTTTTTTTAATTAATATTTTGTTTTTGAGTAACAGGAGAAAGAGAATGTCAGGTTGACTGTTTAGATAATTTATCACTACTCTAATAAAATACAATCAAAATGTAAAGGAAAAGTATTGAACTTTAGAACCCCTCAAATAAAAAAAATTCAATGTAGGTCAACCTCCCAATGATAATTTTAACATATATAGTTGATAATAATTTTATATCGGTATAAGTTACACTCTTAATTTCGATCATTAATTTTATTTATATCTAAATCGTCTCTAATTTTTTTTTAATTACGTGAGTTGGATACAAGTGAATAATAACCAATAACGAGTGCCAGTTTGAATCTTCTTATTTTTAACTTCTCTTTTCCTTATAACCAGAAGTTAGACTAAGTGCCTGTTTGGATCCTCTCTTTTTTAAACTAGAAGCTACTTATAAGCATAAGCTAGGCTAAACAGGTTTTGGAAAAAGCTCTTATAACGAAAAGCTTTTTTTTATAATGAAGAAAAAAGCTGAAAACTAAAAGCCCCTCCTAGGAGCTTTTTTTTAATCTCTTATCTGTTTTTCTTTAATTGTGTGCTTTTTTTTAAAATGAAGAGTGATAAAGATAGAGAAAGAGATAACTTTCTTGAAATATGTGCTTTTAAGTAATTTTTAAGCTAAAATTTTTATGTAATTTTCAAACAGCTTTTAGCTTCTTTTTTTAAGCTCTTTTTTTTAGCTTTAGCTTATAAGTAGATTCTAGCTTGAAAATAAGAGGATCCAAACAGAGGAGCTTTTATAATGACAAGCTCTTTTTTTATAATAAAAAAAAAGGCAAAAACCAAAACCTCCTAGAAGGAGCTTTTTTTTTAAGCTCTTGTAATTTTTCTTGAATTGTGTGCTTTTTTTGAAATAAGAGCCATATAGATATAAAGAGAGGGACTTTCTTGAAATATGTGCTTTTAACCAACTTTTTAAGTTAAAAGCTTTATATAATCATCAAACAGCTTTTAACTTCTTTGTTTTAAATTTTTTTTTTAATTTAGTTTAAAAGTAGATTCTAACTAAAAAAAACATCAAACATGTTTTTCTTCTTGTTATACCGATATAAATTTGTCCCTGATATATACTCAAGAATTTGTTCTTCTAGATGTGCTTTGCTCCTTAAAATTCGATTTGCTGTTTATGTTCGCTGCTCATTTAGATAGGTATGTCAAGTGCACTGGATACATTTTGTGGTCAATCATATGGAGCAGAGGAGTATCACTTGGTTGGCATACACATGCAGAGAGCCATGGTGGTAATCATGGTTGTTACTATACCCCAGTCCATTATTTGCGCAAACTTAAAGCCTATTCTAGTTGCTCTGCATCAAGACCAAGATATAGCTGCAGAAGCTGGACTATTTGCCCTATACTTGATCCCAAGCCTTTCTGCCAATGGCCTTCTACGGTGCATTGTCAAATTCCTACAAACACAAAACATTGTCTTTCCTATGTTGCTAGCTTCTGGATTTACTACCTTAACACATGTCCTTGTTTGTTGGGTTTTGGTTCTAAAACTTGGCCTTGGCATCAAAGGAGCTGTCATTGCAATTTGCATTTCAAATTGGCTTAACATGGTACTACTAGCACTGTACATCAGGTTCTCCTCTTCATGCAAAAGCACTTGGACTGGTTTCTCAAGGGAATCCTTGCATAACATCCCTCAATTTCTTAGGCTTGCTTTTCCTTCAGCAATCATGGTCTGGTATGATATGATATTTGTTACTGAACACCAAAATTTATTTCCATAGATGTATAACAACTTGCATCCAAATTAGCTAATATGAAAGACTATTTGTTTTACCAAATGATGGTAGCTCAGTTGGCGCATGGAGCTGAGCAGGTGAGGATGGAAGTATGTGTTCAATCCTCCCTATTATCATCTTTAGGAAAAATTTAAAGCCTTAATCTTGAACTCATCCCGAACAGGAATGTTTCCCGTGAAGGATATCTGTGGTTTATCCATATAAAAAATAAATAACTTCGTTTTTTTTCCTTGTGACTAATAATGTGAATTGTTAAATAACGAGAGAAAAAAGAGGAACATTTGAAATATTTCTGTGTATTGACTGATGAAGGTTGTACAATATATAAACAGACTAATAGGCTAAGCCCAAACCTAATGTAATCTGACCTAATACAAAATAAGGAAACTCTAATTACAAAATAAGGAAACCCTAATTACAATATATTTCTAACACTCCCCCTCAAGCTGGAGCGTATAGGTCATGTGCACCAAGCTTGTTACATATAAACTCTATTCGAGGGCCCCTCAAAGATTTTGTAAACACATCTGCTAATTGCTTATTAGAGGGTACAAAGCTAGTTTTAATTTCACCAGCAAAAACCTTTTCTCGAACAAAGTGGCAATCTATTTCTATATGCTTGGTTCTTTCATGAAATACTAGATTTGATGAAATGTGTAGAGCTGCTTTATTATCACAAATGAGAGTTGCCTGTCCAGTGTCTCCAAACTTAAGTTCTCTGAGAAACTGTTTAAGTCAGATGAGCTCGCAAGTAGTAGTCGCCATGGAGCGATATTCTGCTTCAACACTTGATCTGACAACTACGCTTTGTTTCTTACTTTTCCAGGAAATCAAGTTGCCTCCAACAAAGACACAATACCCAGAAGTAGATCTCCTATCAGTTGGACAACCAACCCAATCAGCATCACAGTACCCAACCACTTTATCATGACCTTTATCTTCATATTCAAGGTCTTTCCTTGGAGATGCCTTGATATACTTAAGAATATGAATGAATGCATTCCAATGTTCTTGACATGGAGAATTGATAAATTGACTGACAACACTAACTGCAAAGGAAATATCAGGCCGAGTGACTGTGAGGTAGTTCAATTTTCCAACCAATCTTCTATACTGCTCAGGATCTGAAAAGGGCTCCCCCTGATTTGGTAGAAGCTTGATACTTGGATCCATAGGAGTATCAACAGACTTTGAATTTAACAGAGCAGTTTCTTCAAGAATATCCAGAGCATATTTCCTCTGAGATATCACAACACCAGCTTTAGATTGGGCCACCTCGATTCCTAAGAAGTATCGAAGTTTCCCAAGATCCTTAGTCTGAAAATGATGACATAAGTGTTGTTTCAATCGAGTGATCTCATGCTGATCACTGCCTGTGATGACAATATCATCCACATATACCACCAGATAAATAGATCCAGAAGCAGAATGACGATAAAAGAGAGAATGACCAGCTGCACTCCGAGTCATGCCAAATTGTTGAACAACACTGCTAAATTTACCAAACCAAGCTCTTGGAGATTGTTTGAGGCCATAGAGAGACTTACGAAGACGACAAACAAGACCTGACTCCCCCTGAGCAACAAATCCAGAAGGTTGCTCCATATAAATTTCTTCCTCAAGATCACCATGAAGAAAAGCATTCTTGATATCCAGTTGGTAGAAAGGCCAATGGCTAATAGCAGCCATGGCAATAAAAAGGCGAACAATAGATATTTTCGCCACAGGAGAAAAAGTATCATTAAAATCCAAGCCAAAGACCTGAGTGAAACCCTTCACCACCAAGCGAGCTTTAAGACGATCCACTTGACCATCAGGTCCAACCTTAATAGCATAAATCCATCTGCAACCAACCACAGATTTTCCAGAAGGAAGAGGCACCAGGTCCCATGTTCCATTATGATGAAGAGCACTCATTTCATCAATCATAGCTTGTCTCCATCCCGAATGTGAAAGTGCATCACCTGTGGTCTTAGGAACAAATATATAGGATAAAGAGGAAAGGCAAGCAAAATATGATGGAGAAAGACGATGATAACTAATATTGACTGTATACATGGCCGGAGGGCGAGTATCACGAGTACCCTTACGAAGAGCAATGGGAAGGTCACTATCCGAAGGTGGGACCGAAGCCGTGGGAGGAGATGCAGTTGAATGGGAGTCCACAGATACATCTAACGAACTATGCTCGATCTTATCAGCAGAAGAGGTGATAGAAGGAGAGTCAGAAACATGGATGGGTAAAGACGGAAGGTAAAGAAGGTCACCTGGGAAGGACGACTGTACAGAATCAGTATCCACAGGAGTAGTAGAGGATGCAAAAAAGGGAATTGATTCAAAAAGGAGACATCCGCCGAGATAAAGTATCGACGTAAAGTGGGAGAGTAGCAACGGTAACCTTTCTGAGACCGAGGATAACCCAGAAAAACACATTTATGAGACTTGGGAGCTAATTTATCCAAACCTGGACCAAGATGATGAACAAAACACGTAGAACCAAACACATGTGGAGTTAAAGGATATAAAGCTTGATGGGGAAATAAAATAGAGTGAGGTACCTTATGATTGAGAACAGATGATGGCATGCAATTAATGAGATAGCATGCAGTAAGTATAGCATCACCCCAGAATGTGTATGGAACATTACCATCAATTAACAAGGCACGAGTGGTTTCAACCAGATGGCAATTCTTGCGCTCGGTTACACTATTTTGTTGAGGTGTATGAGGGCAAGATATTTGATGAAGAATGCCATGAGATGAAAAGAATTGTTGAAATTGATGAGATAAGTACTCACATCCATTATCACTACGAAAAATACGAATAGGAATACCAAATTGAGTTTTTATTTCATTATAAAATAACTGAAAAATAGAAAACAGCTCATACCGCTTTTTCATTAAAAATAACCAAGTGCATCTGAAATAATCATCAATAAAAGTAACAAAGTACTTAAAACCCAAAGTAGAAGAATGACAACTTGGTCCCCAAACATCAGAGTGGACCACAGAAAAAGGAGAAACAACTTGACAACTAAGACGACTCGGAAACGTACTACGAGTATGTTTTCCAAACTGACAAGACTCACAATTTAAAGTAGAAAGAGATGATAAATGGGAAACCATCTTCTGAAGCTTTGCAAGACTAGGATGGCCCAGACGAGCATGGATAGTAAGAGGAGAATCCACAGTGGAGCAGGCTGAAGAAGAGGGAACTAGTTGATAGAGGCCCCGAGACTCACATCCTTTGGTAATCTCCTTCCCTGAATTCCGATCCTGAAAGATGGCAGAGGTTTTAGTAAAAGAAACAACGCAGTCAATGGATTTGGTCAACCGACTAACAGAAAGTAAGTTAAAAGGAGAATCGGGAACATATAGAACATGATCCAGAGATAAATAGGTAAAAGAAGAACTGTGCCAATCCCCCTTGATTGGACCAGAGACCCATTGGCCATAGTAATAGTGGGAAAAGAACCAGTAGTACAAAGGGAAGTGAATAAGGACTTATTACCAGAAATGTGATCAGAAGCCCCAGAATCTAGAGTCCAAGGGCCAATAGAGTGCAACTGAGATATGCCAGCAAAAGAATTACTAGAATTACCAGTGGGAGCAATGGATGCAGTAGGACCTGATGTTTGCTTCTCAGACCACCAAGTCACAAATGCTTTTGCCTGACTCCAAATAGCTTCACAAGTAACAGCAGGTCGAAAAATCTGTTTGATAGACGGATGAAGAATAGCTTTAATGAGACTACACAACTGAGCATCAATCATCTTCCACCATGTGCGCTCCTTTTCCACCACAGATTCAGCCGTAGTGGTGAGATGGGATGCATAATTCTTCCCATCCAACCAAAGTCGCAGATCGGAAGACTAAGTGTCATAGTTGGACCCATCCAATTTATCCACACTCAACGGAGCAAGGATATAATTGGAAAAAATAGTAGACTCCGACTTTTGTCCAGCCGGAGTCCCAGAACTAGGAACATTGGAGACAAGAGGGTCCATAATCAAAAAGAAATCAGAAAGAACAGATCACAGAACTAACCGGTAGAAGAGGGATCTGTACGTCAATGCAAAAAGAGGTCCAAACACCAAAACAAGACCAGATCCAGAACCTACGCAAGGAGACGAGAAGATCGCAACCAGCCACGACCAGAGAGGAGCCTCTACGCGCCGCTGGTGTGAAGAGAGTGGCCGAAATGTCACGCGCGCGTGAGGGCGCGTGTGAACTTGGAATCGAACGAGACCGGTGGCGTTGGAACCGCGTGGCTGAGACGAGCATGGCGGTATGTGGATCACCGGAAAAGGTGACTGGACGGTGGTGCTGGACGAGACAGAAGGTCTGACGGCTGTATGCGGAGAGAGAAGCGTCCGAAAACTGACAAGGAGACAGCTCCGGAAAAGATTTAAACGACGATGAACAGTGGGTTCACCGGAAAAAAAAAATTTCAAAGTTCCTTAGGCTCTTGATACCATGTTAAATAACGAGAGAAAAGAGAGGAACATTTGAAATATTTTTGTGTATTGACTGATGAAGGCTGTACAATATATAAACAGCAGACTAATGGGTTAAGCCCAATCCTAATATAATCTGACATAATACAAAATAAGAAAACTCTAATTACAAAATAAGAAAACCCTAATTAAAATATATTTCTAACATGAATAACCAATGTTTGTAAGTGTTAAATGATGCTCTGTGATACTGCCATGTTACAGCCTCGAAGCATGGACGTTTGAACTAATGGTGATTCTGTCAGGTGCTCTTCCCAATCCAAAATTGCAAACTTCAGTGCTTTCTATATGGTTAGTTTTTTAATTAAGGTCTTAAGGTTATGCTATGGTATGTCCTAGATTTTATATGGCGTGCCTATACCTTGATCTTTCTCTTCCCCAGCTTTAATACATTTGGTCGGTTTTGGATGATACCCTTCGGAGTTAGTGCTGCTGCAAGGTTAGTTGTGTATACATATTATTAGATGAAGGTTATATTTACAAATCTTTTGTTTATAAACTCTTACAAACTATATTATGTACTCCTGGAAGTACACTATATTACACTATATACTTCCAGAAATAGATAGTATAATTTGTAAAAAAAAAATTATAAACGGATTCTTTCCCATTATTATATCTTGCAAACTTTATTTTCTTTGAATTTGACTCCCAAACTTAATTATTTTGAGGAAAAGCAAGTTTATAAATAATATGTACTAAAAAAATTTATTTCAATAGTGACTTTGGTAAAAAATAATATTTACATTTGTTGATAAAAGTACTTTTACATGTTAATTGTCAGTAAAGCTATATAAATATTGTAAAATAATAATATAATATTAAATTATGAGGATATTTTTGTCAATAACATCTATAACTGGGTTATTCTTCATTGCAAAAGTAATAAAATGTTGCTATGCAGAATTGATTTTGCTCTGAAATTATCAAACATGCTGGCACAAAACCACATTTTTACCCTCAAAGGTGATCCCATATCCTGAAAACGTTTTTCCAAAAATGCTATTAGTCTTGATGCTGAACTGTGCAACTTATATATTACTATATCCAAAAATAAATAAATAAATGTATATTCATTAAGACTAATCTTGATCAGAAAATGTGCTTGCTATGCCACTCAGGGAAAAATTAGCAACAGACTAAGTGTGTTTGGATGAGTATTTGCATTCCTGATTTTAGATGGTTTTGATTTAGCAAAATTGATTTTGGTTAAAAGAGAGTTTGAAGTGAAATGATTCAACTTTTATATCAAAAGTAAGTCTACGCAAAACCTACATTTTTTTCACTTTTAGTCAAATGTATGTTTAGAAGAAAAACTGATTTTAGTTGAAAATAACCGAACATCCTTTTATTTTTTTCTTTTGCAATATCAAATTTCTGGTTGATAACTTGTGTTTGAGGCTTTTCAACACAAATCCAAGCATATTGTAACTCTATCACCAAAAACAAATATAGCAGTCACATGGTTTTTATGCAATTATTGGGTTTAACAAGCCTCATTTTATTTATATATTTCATTAAACAGTACAAGGATCTCAAATGAACTAGGTGCTGGCTGTCCAAAAGCTGCATATTTAGCTGTTAAAGTCACCTTATTCATGGCCTTCACGGTTGGGGCTTTAGAATTCACACTCCTTTTACTTACAAGGAACATTTGGGGCCCTATTTTTACCAATGTACCTGAAGTAGTCAATTATATGGCATCCATGATGCCAATTCTTGCAAGCTCTGCCTTTGTAGATTCACTTCAAACAGCATTCCAAGGTATTAAACAAAATCCCTCAATAAATTCCAAAAAAGATATTAGATAAAGATAAACTGTGACCGTAGTAAAAAAAAGTTGCATTAAAATTATATTTTCAGCATAATTTCTAAGAAACCTTATACATGATTAGATTGAATGGAAGAAAAAATAGTAAATGAATTACTCAATTAAGTAAAATACCAATGAAATTTATGAAAAGAAGTATACGAGGAAAATAAATGAATTCCACTTTATCTATGGCCTAAAAAGAAAAATCACATGCATGTCAATTGACCTTAGACCTTATGTTTATATACACATGTGAACTTGAGCTTTATTAATTCTTTGGGTTGTGAAAAAAGGTATTGCCAGGGGATGTGGCTGGCAGAAGCTTAGTGCATGTAAAGAACCTTGAGGTCACCACCCCAAAAGCTAGCTCAAAGGGTGAGAGTGTCCAAGGCCTTATAAACTCCACATTAGTTGCACATACAATCAATGTGGGACTATATATCTCAACAGTGCATTTATTAATCTTGGATCTTATTATCTTGTGGGAGTTCCTTTTGCAATTGTGTTTGCTTTTGTCCTCCATATGAATGAAAAGGTAAGATTTAACCAATCTGTTATCTTGTTTCCTACTAGTAAACTTGTTTAATTGGAGCTAGTGCTATTAAAATGAAGTTGATTTTTTCAAAAAAAACACAGGGGCTCCTTTTAGGGATTATACTTGCACTTATTGTGCAAGTGGTGTGTTTTCTTCTAGTCACCTTAGGCACCAATTGGGAGAAAGAAGTAAGTCATATCTTTAACTCAGTTTTGTTTTCAACTTAGAATCTTAACAGCAATATCTTCTCTGTTCAGGCAAATAAGGCAGCAATAAGAGTACGAGGCAATAGTTGTGTCCAAGTTGATGTACTTGCACTGCCAAGTGACCAAATGGAATACAGCAAAGGCAATTGTGTGGTGATGGAACCAAAACTCAAGGACTAACTATTTACCAAGCTTATACTTCGGGCATGAACCATGAAATATAAATAAAAGAAAAGTATAATATAAGTAGTAAAAAAAAGTATATAAATAATAATAGGATAGAATATCTGAAAATATCTCTTAATATCATTATCGTAATATTGTAATTATTACAAAGTATGTTAGATCATGTTTAAAGAATATTTTTTGTATTTATTATATTTTATAACGTGTTTCTTTAATTAATTTAGATGGTTTAATGAATACAAAATTGTGTAAGTTTTCATATAATAAATGAAAAACTTGTATATTAAAATAAAATATAAAAATAAGCATTTATATCGTAATTTGTTTAAGTGTACTCTAAGAGCTTGTTTGGTGGTCAAGATAAAGATGATAGGATAAACTATTATATAATGCTCTTGGTGAGCCACCATGATATAATAAACTTATTCTATTGACTCATTTTATCTTATTCACATGATAAGTTATCTTAAGTGGGATTGAGTGAGGATTGGATAGTGTAAGATAGCAAATATCATGCCCAACTTATCGCGATTATAGCCTTCTACTTTTTTATAAGGAACTTCATTGGGAACGTGAGAGTATCGATCATCCATCACCACTATCATCATTGGTCAGCCACCATAATTGTCACCAGCCACCACCATTACACCCGTTGTCATTGTCGCCATTTCCACCACAATCACTAACTACTAGGCATCTGCCATCACCACTATCATTGGCCACCATTACCACAACTGCCACCGACTATCATTATCATTGTCGTCGTCGTCCACTGCTATCAGTCACCACCACCAACCATAGGTCAACTATGTACTACCACTTTCACATGCACCCCACTTACCACCGGTATTCACAATCAATTTAAAACTTGATTTTTAAAATTTTATTTGATGAGGATATAATTTTTATTTTAAAAAATTTGTGAGTTATTTTATTTATTTTAATATATTTTATTTAAAATTATAACTTTTATATTTTTAAAATAATTTAAAATAAGAATCAATGTACAAATAAGTTAAAGAAAAAAATTATTTTAATAATGAATTTAAAAATAATTATATGAAATTAATTATATTATAACAATTTTTTATTATTATTATAAAAATTATTTACGTCTATTTACATCATATCTTGATAATATTTAGTCCATCTCAAATACTGACGATAACATTATCATATCAGATTATTTATTTAATGAACATCAAATACGGAATAAGATATATGAGATTATCATGTCAATATCATTTCCTAATCTTATATATTTCAATTATCTTATTTATTTCTATCATATCTCATCCACCAACCTAGTTATAAGAGCATATATTCTCCGCTAATAAATGCCTTTTAACTATTAGTTTAGAAGGCTTGGATTCCTATACTTAACATCTACCTATTTTTATTTGTTATGTTACGAAATCCATGCTTTTTCTTTTTTCTTTTTTTGGTACAGGTCCATGCTTTAGTCTTAATTGTTTGAATACGACGTGGCCCAAATTTTAGATATGAGATCCTCAAAGTAAGGATATGAAAATGGACTGAATTTACTGGGTAGACTCGATTAGCATAATATAAGTAGCTTCTACTGGGCTGGACCAAAATGTTGATCCAATACAATATCCTTTGTCTCTCTTTTTATATCCATTGAATTGATGGACCTTATCAAAATTTCTGAATAAAGATAAAATAAACATAAAAGTTAATGTTATGCAAAATTTTAACACAATAAAAATTTCTTAAATAAATCCAATGCAGACGCAGTCATGTCGTTATCACGAAGAGAGCATTAATTGAGTCAACTCTGCCACGTTTAATGTATGAATGTTTATGTAACTGTAACGGTATAAAGAATCAAAAGAGTTAGGTCAATGTGTGGGGAAGCAACGGCAGGCTATTAAAGTTTTTGAAATAGAGAAATATAAAATTATTAATTTAATCTAAGAATATAATATTTATCTCTTCATATTTTATTAATAAAAAATTGAATTATTATAAAATTTATTATCATAAGTAGGTTGGATTTGATTTATTATTCACTCTTCAAATTTGATAACTTCTCGTATGAAGAGATGTATTGGAAAAAAAAAACAAATTAATTAACATAATCCTACCCAATAATTTAAATTTTTGAATTAAATTAAATCTTAATAAGCATCAATGTACTTATTGTAGGGCCAATATTTTTATTCTCTAGTTACGTTAGCAATAGAAATATTGAAGAATGTGACAATTAAAAAAGTTGTTAAACATTTTAATTTTCAAAAATATAATTATGTTTAGTAAAATTATTTTTACATATTTTTATTTTTAAAAATATTAATTAAAAAATGATTAATTTCTATTTAATTTTTATAATAATAAATATAAAATGATATTAATTTTTATATTCCTACAAAGGTAAGAGATTAATCTAAAAAAGAATTATTTGGTGCCGTTTTTACTTTTGTGTTGTTTTCTTTTTTACAAGAGTTAAATATAAAATGTAATTTTTACTTTTCTGTTGTTTTCTTTTTGACAAGAGTTAAATATAAAATGCAATTTCTCCATGACAGAGGGGACCTATTGTAGTATTGTATAAGATTCCACTCAATGTCAGCGACCATAACAGGAAACTGTTTGCAGTATTTAGACACCTTCGAAACAGTTTATTATTTAATTTTGTATGTAGTACGTGCAAGTGTACACATTTTTGCATCCATTAAAGAGTTCTTATTAATATTATGACTTAAATTTATTACTTCTACACAAATTGTTATTAATTCTAATCACTTGAATTATATTGAGCTAAAAATCACGATGGAAATAAATTTACTTGAATTTTGGCAAGATATATAAAGTTAATAAGAATCGTTGATCAATTGACAATAAATTATTTCAGTTTACTTCCAGTTTAAATACATAATTAAGTTAAAAATTTATAAGAATAATTTTATTATCCTTTTACTCATGTTAAGCTCTAAACTGAATTAGTCGATATCAAATGATTTATAAAAAATATTAAAATTAATGACATGTATTGAACTTATTACATATATATAGATCTTAATTAAACTTTATTTTATGAAAACAATTAAATGTTAGTCCAATTATTATACTTTTGGGAAAACAATTTGGAGCAAGGTTTTAAATCGCAATATGTCTCGTTTATTGTTTGACCCATTTTTGGTATTGTGTATCGTGAATCGTATCGAATCGTAAAATACATAAATATAATAAAAAATAATTTAAAAATACATAATATACTTAATATCATACAAATTTAAATTCCAAAAAGATACAATCAACAAAATATATAAGTAACTAAAATACAAACTAGTTATTCTCCTATTCATCAATCATCAAGACCGATATTATCACTACTATCACTACCAGCATCTATCAGTGGCATAATTAATATATCATCCTCTTTATTAGTGTAGTCATTTGACTCATCTCTAATTTCTTATTCAACAATTTGAGGTCATTTTCCCTTATCATTCTTGTTAGTAATATCATTTTGTTTATCAAGTCAGTTGACATTATCTTATTCTTATATAATTATGCCTTTTCTTTTATCATTCATGTCGGCTTTAAGATTTTTCAGACTAAAAAAAATAAAATTATACATAACAAAATATATGATTACATATGTAAAAAAATTAGATAAGGCGTTTGACTAAAAGAAATATTATACGAGCATAATGTACGAGCTAAAGCAAGGTAAGATATCTTGAAAAGACACTTTTTTTGTTTTTTATTTACGCAACCTTCTGTTGCTTTAATTTGAATCAATTTTTTTATATATTTATTTTTTATTTTAGAGAAGAAAGAGATTTTGAATATTTATTTAATTATTTCAAGTTTTTTCAGATTGATTTTTGAATTTAAATTACAAATCAAATCTTTATTTTCTTTTACTTTGATTATTGGTGTTATGGGCCTATATGAGTGGCTCATATTCTAGAAGGCCCAAGAAATGGCAACAAAAAGAGGAAGTAATGCAAATAAAGGAAAGAATTCTTGATTGCCACAAATCCTAATACGACAACTACAAACCTGGACATGGCTTAAAAAAAAGCCACAAAAAGTTCAGAATTTCATTACTCACAGGTAAACCCTTTAAATAAGAGATAAAGCATACAATTATAAACACTCTCTTATTGCTATGTTGTCACTGTGCACATACACCACCCCTTTGGCAACGTTGTTACTCTATACACACTAATCTACTACCTTAAAGATATCTACTCCATAGACATCTGACTAGAAATCTCTATCTCGAGGGCAGAACATTTGGGTTTATGCTCGTTCTCTTAAAAGCCCAATCGGGATCAAGTTATGAGAAGATCCCAAGTAGCCTAAGGCTGGGGTTTCTTGGTGCCCGTTTATATTCTCACTTTTAGCCACTAGCCTTGGGGATTCTTCTGCAGTTGTATAGGCTTAGGTAAGATCATATCTCTTATAGTGAGAGAGTTCTCACACACTAACCATTTTCCCTTGAGAGATAGTCTGGAAGGTCTGCTGCTAACCAGCTACAAGGAGATCGTTCGTGTTGAGACACAGTGAAGACCAGTTCGTGAAGAGAATTAACACATAAGGAGGTCGCTTATAGACCTGTGCTGCAAGAGGTATGCCATGTGTGTTTGAGAGACGATGATGATTCGATAAGCATATAAATGTACTAGGTCCTTAAATCGCTTCTGTTTAAATCCAATTTATCCTACAATAATACCTTTTCTAGTTTTTTTTAATTTAAATCACAAATCAAATCTTTATTTATTTTTTTAATTCAAAAATTATAAATTTTGAGTTATTTTTGTATCGTATGATACACGATACAATATTGTATTGTTCGATATAACCCTTTTTCTGATACACCCATCGATATGTATCGCTGAACTTGTGAATTATATGTATTATATCGTATGAATCGTATTGTGTATCGTACGACTCGTATCGTGTATCGTATGATACTGATAACAATAATTTGTAGAAAATACATGTGTGAGAATGATAAG